TTCACAAAACCCCGCTTGTGTCAACCCGTGTTGTTTCCTTGCCAGTGACACATCCGTCGAAACTTTCCGTTCTGTTGGGCGGCACTGATGGGGCATTTGGAGCCTCACCAAAAAAACCGTGCGAGCGTGTTTAAGTGCACCTCTCTGCTTACTTAGCGGCGTTATTTATCAAACCAATTTCATCGCCAAACACACGCGCACTTGGACGAAGCTCTGCGTCACCGTCGTTATAGTGACAACGGTGAAATATATGGTTACTAGGAACAGATGTGTTAATCCTGAGTAAAGTCTGCATGCTAAATTAAATTGCTCGGGGGGAGGTTAAGGTTCTGGCTAAATACAGCATCGTAGGTTGATGTTTGTCGATATAATGATGGAAGTTGGCAAATGCTCCCGTTTGCTAACCAGTGTACTGTTTTGCATGATTATCATTAAATTGGAAGTCATCACCAATTGTCAAATTCTGGCCTCATTGGTAGGCCAAAAAAGTATTTGTATTATATTCCAACAGAAAATGCACGACCTACCAAAATCTCGGAATGAAAAGACACTCTGGAAAGTAAGACACTCCACCAAACTCATGGTCCATTTGACAATTATTTTTGGAGACAATATACGACCTCCTGGGAAAGCAGAAGACACCGTAACATATATCATTAAAAACATACGTAGAGTGGACGCTGAGAAAAACAAAGTGGACCTAAGCATCTGGAGAATACAATAATAGGCCATTGACGCAAGTGCTGCAGGATTATTGGTGCTCCATTTCACACCATTACTATGAATAAGAAGTGAAACGATGCCTCGAATCATCGATTAATATTGATGTTTAAGCCCATGATGTATGCATCGAATTGCGTTCGTTCGATTTGTGTACATTATAACCCCTCAAGCCACTAGAGGCCGCTACAATCGCCGCAATATTGAGCAAATTTCGATGTATATTTTTCATACTTTGATACTGGCCAGAGGTCGCAACCGGGTACCCAATACCCGTACCCTACCCGATACCCGGCTACCCGTACCCGGCCGGGTAAGGGTACGGGTAGCCGTTTGCGACCCTGGTGCGGCCGGGTACGGGTACGGGTAGGCCGTGAGTCACCGGTGAGTAGCCGTTTGTCACTCATTTCGGGTAGGGTACGGGTACGGGTAGGGAACGGCTACCCGTACCCGGCCGGGTACGGGTATGGGTAAAGAATCAAAACCCGTTTGCGACCTCTGATACTGGCAAAAAAGGTCCCATTTTGTAGCTGCTCACCCCGAGCTATAAATGCCCTGATGGTGTCATTGTCTTCGTACTGATCGCCTTTTGGCGTTTTTTCTGGTCTGACACTGGCGGTGAGAGTGGGCCTTAAAGAAGGCTGTCTCTGGTGTAGGCCAATCTGTTTCAAAGACAATGCCATCGATTATCACAGCATGTGTGTTTGCATGTTCACCACAAGTACCGTGTTTGATTAATGTAGGACTTGATTCCTTGCAAAAGGTTTCTATTTGGCGTTTGGCCATCTTAACATAACTCCTGTTTTATTGCCAGAAAGGGTAAAAACTATTCTGTTTTTTTTTTGTTCACGTAAATAGATTGTTGAATCAAATAGTGACCCTGAATCAAGACAATGATTAAAATCGCTAGGGAGGGTGACTCCGTTGCACGCTACTGTCCATGCAATCACACGAGTGCAGCCGCAATGAGCGGGCTATTTTCGACACAAGAGAAGACGGTCTTACCTGCAGTGCATTAGAAATGGATTTTCGCTAAACCTAAAACAATGTCTGCCTGTCCAATGGATGTCAACAGTTCACGCTCTCGCCCTGCCAAGGCTATTACCTACAAATGTCGTTATACCGGGGGGCACAGCATCTCCAATCGCTTCAGTGTAAAACAAAGAAAACGACAAAAGGAGCGTAACACATTGATCTACAGCGTAGCACGTTTTTTTTGTATCATCATCGTCTTAAGCTGACACCGCCGACGATGTGCGGGGTGCGTGTCCTCGTGACATTTCAGGGGCCTCGTGCCACCGCGTCGTATTTTTGTTCGTCCACACACACACACCAAAGAAAGACCAAACCACCGCTCGTTCGAGCCTTCTTATGCGACGACGAAAGGCCGCAGACCGTGCCGCATGTCCGAGCCAAGAGTCTCCTCTCGTCGTCGAACGCCGCTCGTAAAAGTGCACGCGAGACCGCCCGTCAGGTGCGCGCGAAACAAAGCGCAAGAAACTCGCCCTGCAAAATGGGTTCTTAATAATTCAAAAGCCACGCGCACAAAAAAACACACAGACACACACACAACGGGGGTTGAACGCCGCGGCCGAACAGCTGAGCGGTGCAGCTGTCCCGTGCAGTGTGTGTGCGTGTGTGTGCGTGTTCGTGCGCGCGTGTCGGAGATCCACAATCGCCACCTGCGTGCCATAAACTACAAACACGGCATCGCGAATGACGGATGGGGGGGGGGATATCGAGGGGTCCCTCTTTGTTCAGGCCAGCAAGGCGAGCGGCACGAACGCAGCAGCAGCAGCAACAACGGCGACGTGGTGGAAATTATCCGCCACTAATGGTGATCTTCTCGGAAAATTGCTGGGGGGGGGGGGGGGGTGCTATACGCGCCGCGAAAAATAAGGGGGGTGGGAGGTGGTGGCCTTCCTGAGCTCGTGAGAACAGAGGAGGGAAATTGGGAAAAAGAGCAGCAATAACAACAACAACAACAAAAACTAAAAAAACGGTCGACAAATTAGCAAATCGGTGGCTGAGTGTGGTGTGCGAACGCTTTACGGATTTACGGGTCACTAATTTGCTGTAGGGAGGTTGGGGGAGGGAGGGGGGGTTGAATTTGAGACCTTGCGTAATCGACAGGCGAAGGCTCAGCGAACACATTGCGGGTCCCAGCGGAGGCTGTCCATCGCGGGGCTGGCGCGTTGGAAATATCAGGGGGCATTATTTGTTAAACAAGGGTGAATGTGCTCCTGGCTAATCTTGCCCGTGTGCCAAGGGGGAGAAGGATGGAAGAAGAGAAACGATGAGGTTAGTGGTGGGGTCGGGTGAGGAGGGAGGGAGGAGTGTGAAGGGGGGTGCGGTGGGAAGGGGTAAGGAGGAGAGTTTGAGGCTAGCAAGGGAGGATGAAGGCGGGGCTATTTGTGCCTGCAAGCGCCTGCCATGTGAAGTCACAATGTGGCATTTTTAATCCGTTACGCTTTGTAGTTTGTTGTTACACTAATATGCCCTTATCTTGAAAAATAACTGTACAGGCTCTACTGCAGCAGATTAAGGCTACGTACCACAGTATCGCGTTTTTTCCTTCGTGATGTAAGTTGCGGTATATATATAATGAGGAGGGAAAAAAATTTACATTTAAAAATAAAATGAATGTAATTAATATAAAAATCATTGGTAATTATCACGTTGTACTACAGCTCTAATACGGACAATATAATTGAGTTTCTCGAATATTAACAAATTGCATTAAGAGGTATGCCCATTACAGCTCAACGACAAGTGCACATGGAATATTTGCAGTGCTTCACAGTATTGTTTTTTTGCAATGCTAAACGATTTAAACATAATTCACACGTCGCAAGACGTAATATGGAACACGCAGTGCCGCAATGGTTCATAGCGCACTTTGCGCGATAAACCCTGTTGAGTCCTGACCACACTGGCAAGTATATCTTTATATCGGAACCTGTCCTCTCACACCTCCCCACCCATCCACCACCACACCCCCCCCCCCAGCTCTTTGCCTCCCAAGTGGCGAAGTTTACACCAGGCACTCATTTGAGGCTGAGTCGACCTAGGAGAGGCCCAGGACCAGATAATCCTCACCGGATGTTGGTCGTGAGTGGGTGTCGAACACGGCACGCCGGATTTATAGCGCAGCTCACTGACTGCTCATTTGCCGCTCCCCCCCTCACCGCCCACACCTCCAGTTTCACCAACCCACACGACCAGTATGGTGAAGTAGCGCCAAACAGCCCGAATTACGCGGCGTAGAGAGGCTTTCATTCGATGGTGGATTGACAAAGGGTACTATATTGTTATTAGACATGGTGATTATATCATGTAGTTACGGTGACGATGAGCTCTCAATGTGGCACGTGGACATTATATCTGGCAAAGTGTCCAGGTGAGTGACCAACCACTTCGATAATGAATGAATCTAAGATGTTTTCATACTCTTAGGTTTTTTCGGTAAAGTCACGTAGGTAAAATTTTTTTATTAATAAAAGTAAAATAAAACAAATTAAAAAATTCACGCAAGACAATACATATACTCTATCATAGAGTATATGTATTGTCTTGGGTGAATTTAAATTAAAAAATTCACGCAAGACAATGCATATACTCTATCATAGAATTTTATACATTGTCTTGCGTGAATTTTTTAATTTGTTTTATTTTACTTTTATTAATTAAAAAAAAATACCTACGTGACTTTACCGAAAAAACCTAAGAGTATGAATCCTTGCAGTCACGAAAGCTTCAAATCTAGAATCTAAGATGTTATTTAGTTACATGAAGCGAGAATCTTGTTCGGCTACAGTGTCTCTTTGGCAGCCAAAGCCTGGGTATAATAATGATAATAAGCATTAAAGAATCACTGAGCCGGATCACGTACATCACATTTCATTTCTCATGCTGTTTCACAGTCCTCCACAATGCATTGCACACACTGAGCTCTTGCGCTTTCTATATATACCCCAAGAGCCATCCTGAATTATCCCAGACTCTCTTATGAATTGCAAAGGTTAGCATTATAGATCCGGGATGCCACCCAAATAGGTTTGTGTGTGTGTGCGCTATACGTTGGCATAGGTGGTGCCTCTGTATCAACTCAGTTCACGCATAATACCTGGGTCTTATTCGGCTACAGTGTCTCCTGAAAACAAGCCTTCGACCCTTCACATGGCCTCAGTGCACCTAGCCTGGCACAAGTGCTGTGGTGACGTCCCCGTCGCTTAGCGGCAGACGCCCACAATTGTTGTTGTGCTTTTACGCAAAAATACCTCTGGGGCTGCACGTCTGCATGCTGGGTTTCGACACATCCGTCTGGGCTCAACATTCTACAAGACAACACATTTGACATGCAGATAATTCCATAGTACAGTGTATGTTGACAAGGTGCCAAATCATAAGCATCACATTGGGTGATCGGTGGAAGACTGATTACCATGCTCTGTTGTGAACCTGGCCACCCAATATTCATTTCCAGCATGGCTAAGATCAGTGGCAACTAATATCAGAACAGATCCGGCTCTCTCCCCCCTCCCCCTTTACCAACCCGCACTAAGCAGCGTGGTGAAGTATGGTCAAAACCCTTGACCAACATGACATGGGTTAGCCTTCATCGAATGGTGAATTGGGAATGGCTGGCGGTTATTTAATGCATAACATATTATACAGTAGATTTAATTCCATGGCGTATATCACTATATTATATATAACAAAAAAATCAATTATACTGCAAGGAAGATTACATTACTATTTTGGGTTATTGGGGGGGGGGGGGCGGGTGCCCAAAAATCAATGCTTAATGTTATTGATTCATTCATTGAATCAGGGATTCCCGATCTGTGTGTCCCCCTATTGCAATGCAAAGACACGAGCCTTTATAATTCACCCATGTTCTGCGTGCCCATCAATAACGACACGACTTGACTTGCTTCTACATACAGTGCGCACAGCCGGGACAAATCTCCACAACGGGGCGGTCCCAGTACTCGGGAGCTGTCCATGGGGCAGTGGTGCTGAATTTAAGATCCAATTCGAGCTGCATGCTGCTGCTGCTGCTGCAAAATCCTGGAAGCATTTTCTCGGAATAATAAAGCTAAAGATTAAAAAATATAGAGAGAGAAATTATAATCCTCGAGTGCATTTGAAGTGCTTGTGTGAGACTAACATTCAGAGGTGCCACACTGTGCAGTCTGCAGGACACTAATAGACGGTATTTTGCATTAGCAATAAATGATTTTCCAATGCACTCTCGACAATTGTAAACCATTTTTTTATCATCATCTACTCACAACCCCTTTGAATTGCCGGGGTGATTTTTTCGTGAGATCTGCCAAGACGTGGCGACTATTGATAAGGGTGTGCGTGTGTTTAAATGTACAACGCTATATATTTCTTCGACACATTACTTAGTGATGCTGCTGCATAGTCAGTGGTGCACAAGCACAGACAACAACAAAAACAATAAAAAAAAACTCAACACACTCATCAATAATCCTTGCCTTAAAAGAATAAACAATATATAATATGCGACGTTTCGGGCAATGGCGCTTTAAGTGGCCTTCTTTTAATGTACTATGAAGGGCCATCGCCCGAAACGTCGTAGAGTATATTCGTTTCCTTTAAGACATAGCGATTGCCGAATATGTTGGACGTTATATATATAATGTATGTACTTGTGTCCACCAGATATAACAAACACGATTTTATTTCGCATCGTCGTGTCGAGGCCAAATCTTGACATTGCCCACGATGTTGAAAGAATACGGCCTCCTTACCGAGACCGCTTGCACAATCATTCCGTGTACGTGTCCGCAAACTGCGCCCCAGTTATCCCAATCACACGAGGATTCCATACTGACCACGTCGTGCGAATTAAACACGCAAGAAATACAAGGCAGAGTACAAATCAAGCACGGAACATGATCTTCATAACCCAGCCGCGTAGTCACGCAACGGCATCGCGTGCGCGCTTGGTGGTTCATGTGTACGTGTGTGTGTGTGTGCGTGCCGCTTTGTACACAGTATGAACGTGCGAACGGGTATTTGTGAATGTACATTCGTGAAACGTATGTCAGGGTTTGTGTGAATATCACTCCGTTAATGTGCGTATGTACGTGTGTGTATGTATGTATGTACGTGTGATTCCTCACCATATTCAGAGCCGGCAACGATCACCAAAAGAGCTAACGTTATAAAGGAGGCGATCATCTTCCCGTCCGTATACTCAGCTCAGGAACAACATAGCGTGCCGCTGTCTTCGCAGACTGCACACAATCCTCCTCCTCCTCCTCGCTTGCTTGCCCCGCTCTTCCGCGCCTGTCTCCTCTGCTGTGATGTCTCCTGGTCCGCGTGCGTCTGTGTGTGTGTGTGTCTGCGTGCGTGCGTGCGTGCGCGTGGGTGCGTTTCTGTCGTTTTGATGCGCGCTCACATATCACAGGCTCAGTTTGTGCCCTACCACCACCATCCTTCCCAGCCCCTTAGCCCACCCAAAGTGTGCTGCTCTGTGCATGTGTGCAGTCGGCATAAAGGAAACCGCAGGCAGTCTGGGTGAGAGGTAGGAGGGGAGGGGAGGGATGAGGGTGGAGAGAGAGCGAGGAGGAGGAGGAGAAAAGCCTGGCAGCGTTATGTGTCTCGTGGAGAAGGGGGCACAGGGGTGGGAGGCTGTTCTGGTGGTCTTACTGTGACCGCTCTAGGCTTAGGGGAGTAGTGAGTATGGATAATTTTGCACGTTAATATAAAATACACCGACATTAATCAGATTGGACTCAATCGTTTGAGTCAAACCCGGGTTAAATTAGGTTAACCCGCACCAGGTTAACGTTTGACAACACTCCCATCAGCACGCTGCTCAGTGCGGGTTAGTGAAGGTCGGAGGAGTGATGGAGCCACTGCACCGGGTGAAATTGCATTCGCCACTGATGATAATTGTACTCACTCAGGCCACTGGTTCGTTGTGCAATGCGATAACCACTGCACCACCCATAAATATAGTCATTGGTATATTTGTTGTGTAGTGAGTCCAACTGAGTCGTAGACGTTGTTCCTTTTAGAGGCAACACTTTTATTTGTAACACCGTAACACCGTAACACAAAGGGGTAACTGCCCCTTTACCAGACTACAGCAAGTTACCGCTACAAAGGGTCGATCCCTCACTCGGGTCTCCAACCACGTGGTTGCCTCGTAGGACGGAGAGCTTCAGCTTGAGACGTAGAGCTTCCCACTTGTAGATGTTGAGCTTCCAGCTTGGAGATGTAGAGCTTCCAGCTTGTAGACGTAGAGCTTCCAGCTTGGAGATGTAGAGCTTCCAGCTTGTAGACGTAGAGCTTCCCGCTTGTAGATGTTGAGCTTCCAGCTTGGAGATGTAGAGCTTCCAGCTTGTAGACGTAGAGCTTCCAGCTTGTAGACGTAGAGCTTCCAGCTTGTAGACGTAGAGCTTCCAGCTTGTAGATGTTGAGTTTCCAGCTTGTAGATGTTGAGCTTCCAGCTTGTAGATGTTGAGCTTCCAGCTTGTAGATGTTGAGCTTCCAGCTTGTAGATGTTGAGCTTCCAGCTTGTAGATGTTGAGCTTCCAGCTTGTAGACGTGGAGCTTCCAGCTTGTAGATGTTGAGCGTCCAGCTTGTAGATGTAGAGCTTCCCGCTTGTAGGTGTTGAGCTTCCAGCTTGTAGATGTTGAGCTTCCTGCGTGTAGGTGTTGAGGTTCCAGCTTGTAGGTGTTGAGCTTCTCGCCTGTAGATAGAGCTTCCCGCTTGTAGATGTTGAGCTTCCAGCTTGGAGATGTTGAGCTTCCAGCTTGTAGAATGCAGCGACCCCAGTCCCTCTCAGGGACCCGTCTTATATCCCCCTACGGTCGGGGCCGCTCCGACCTCGGCCCCCCCGCCCGCCTTCACGAGCATTCTCGTTTCCTTTTGATCCTTCTCAAGAGCTCTCTCCAGACACGTGATCACCCACTAGTCCCCCCACCTGGGACCCCCTGTGTGGACATTCCGGATCACGTGTCTACGGGGTCAACCAGAATGCCACGGCCCGGGGCAACCCTGCCCCCACCACACACTGTGCGTGGTGCCCGCACTATCCCAGTGCTCGCGAAGCCCCGCTAGGGCTGGTATTACACACAGCCACCCACACGGTGCTGTCCACGATGTAGGAACATCGAACGGCATAACCCTTCCCGGCCGGCACCATACAGTGACATCCCCGATGTCACTACAGTTGCATTAAAAACCAAAAAGTAGCATGGTATGGATACATGTTATCTCATTTACCGTGATAGTTGCTACCACAGCAAAGGCTGTTTCTACTTGAGCTTTTAATTTATCAAATTAATGAGCTTGAAAAATATCTCCGGATTGTTATTATCTTTTACGTTTTACAACTAAGGCTGATATGGACACAGCGTTCCCTCTGTCTGTCTGTCTGTAACGGAGGGGGGTACATGGACAATCTCATCAAGATTATCCAATATGAGCACCAACCTTGAATGTACGTCTGTGCGCCTGGCCCGAGCTATATTGTTGTTGTTACCGTTAATCAAATACATCCCAGAATAAGAAAAGCGTGCTGGAAAGAATCATTGAATCAATGCGTATGCATGATTTTTCTTTCTTAATTTCAAACCGGTTTAATCGTGATACATATTCACCCTGAATCACTGCTACAAAATAAATTAGCTTAAGTTAATTGTATTTAAAATTGTGTTAAAGTTTACATTACGTGCTACGCTGGGGGTGATTGATTTCACTTGATTACATTTTTCTTTTGTCATGTTTTTTCCTCATTATTTGCCAACACAAAAACATTACATCATTCTAAGATGACCAAATTACCTAAAATGTGCCCGATCTGGTCAAAGCTAAGCAGGCCTGAGCCTGGTTCATATGGTACTGAGATGGGTGACCATCAGGCCTTAGCAGATGGCAACTCACATCTGACAACTCCGCCAATGTATGTTGAAGATGGGCATCAGCGGGTGAAAAATGTGACCATGTTAAAGCATGGAGTCCATCTTGCATTTTTAGTAAGCTCGTATTTACTTGTATCATCATTTGAACAATTCCTCACCAAAATCTCTAACATCTGCTCAATTATGAATTCACACAATCTTATCGGCGGTCAGAAGCCACGCAGGTTTGAACCTGGTTAGTACTTGGATAGGAGACGGTCTGGGAATACCAGGTGTTGTAAGGCTAATTGCCCAGGAGATGTTAGTTCCACCGTGGATTCTTGAATCCACTGTTTCAAGCCAGTTCAAACTACTATGTGTTCCACCCTAGTGGAAATCAGGAGCCCCACTGCCCCTCCGTCACCCTCCCGGTAACCCCTCCACCCCTTTATACCTCACAACACGTGCACCAGTTTCTGGTTTAGTAATTTACAGTAGTTTGTTTTACTTACCTGTCTCGTTATTATTCTCAATATGCATGCATGCAAATATCCTAGTTGTGTTGAAACGTGTTATTTTTGTAGGTTTTAGGTCAGGAAATATGTTCTTAGGAACACATGTTAGGTTATATAATGGGATCGTATGGTAAAACGCGTTTCGATATACGATGTTTCACTTAACGTTCAGGTTTCTAGGTACAACCGCACCCTTATGTGTGCCTGACGGATTTTCTCTGGGTTCTGCAGTTTAATTCCTCTCATATGAATCCAGGCTCTCATTCATGTAGAGTAATTGGTCAGCCATCCACAATGTAGCAGGACCCTCTTGAAAAAAAACAGTATTGAGACTCAGTGAGGCTTTCTTGGATAAATGGCATTATCAGCATCGTCTGGGGATTCTGCCATAGTGTAATGGTTAGCACATTACTGAACGAGTAATTGCAGGGTTGGACCTTTAAATGATACATTTGAAATTAAACACATTACTTGTACACGCTCGCGAAAAATGCGCTGACGCCCTAAATATGTCTACGCGTTAGACTTTACACACGCATCGTTCAGCGGTACGAGCATTTGCCCGTAGCGCTAATCGCAGCGCCACCGCTCCCTCCCACCACCCCCACACACTTTCGATTCCTCGATTGCAAGCCGAATCGAAACGATTAAATGTGTCGGAGCGATTCCCCCCACCCACAACACTCAAACGCCGCCCGACTTGCCGGGGTAAATCGCGAGAATCGATTAAGGGTCCACTGTGCTTAGTTAATTTACATCCGGAATCGATTCACTCTCTTTTTAAGCGGATGCCTGCCGGAAACTGAAAAAGCTTCATACTCTTTGGCTCTTTCGGTAAAAGTCACGTAGGTTTCGAAATACAATCAAGCAAATCACGACGCTTCAAATCAAGATTGGAGAAAGCTTCCGAATTTGAAACGGCACCCAGCAAGCATGCAGGTGACTGTATATAAATACACACACAACTATACCTCTATGTGTTGGTGTGTGTGTGTGTGTACTACCACACGTTATTCACACGCCAAGGCTACGTTTTGTCTTAGAACGAATCCGGGACAGACTTTTATAAATATATTATTTTATATTTTTCCACGGGAGAGAAGTCATTTGCCATCGAGCGGCCGATTGAGCGTGGTCGTTGATGATTTAAGAAGTGAAATTCACGCATCAAAGATTTTTCATTGCCCCTTTCACCCACTTTGGGTGGTGCTGGGTTGGCCTGTGTGTGTCAGTGTGTGGTGTGCTCGTTGAGCCAGACTTAAAGGGGCACTTGCATGGCACGGCAGTAAACAGCGCTGTGCTATTTTAAGTTCGGGCAGACGTTGCTGGCTTGCTGAGAGACTCTTTAAATCGCACGTGGAGTCTCAACTCTCAACGTGGCAGGTGAACGGAGGATTCGGGAGGCGAAAGTCCACGCGACCACGTGAAGAACACGCTCCCAATTAACGCAGAGCGGTGCTTCTAAATATGTTGTTAACACTTATATGGGACTGGCGTTTTTAACGGATCAAACAACGGATTCTAATACACTAACGCTATATAATAATTATTGATACGTTACAGTGTCAATATAATTATATAATTATATTGATAACAAATGGATGTTAATAGCTCCAAAGAGTCTCCACTTGTTCGCCAACATTGTCAACGCGTTGCCTGGAATCTTCTCCAGGTGGTCTCCAGAGCCCGGAGGCACATACCTTGTGGTGTTGTTGCAAATTCTCAGAAGTTGTTAACATTGTTTTGAAGTACCCCTGTACAGCAGGCGTCCGGGGTCGGGATAGAATCCACGACCTGCTGTATACCAGGCGAGGTAGTTAACGTCTCGCAATTGGGATGATGAGAGAGAGACGCCACAAACTCCAAATATACAGCAGGCATCGTCAGGGTCGTGATCGAACCCGCAACCTCCTGTATACCAGGCGAGGTAGTTAACATCTCGCAATTGTGATCATGCTGAGAGAGAGACTCCACAAACTCCAAATATACAGCAGGCATCGTCAGGGTCGTGATCGAACCCGCAACCTCCTGTTAACCAGGAGAGGTAGTTAACATCTCGCAATTGTGATCATGCTGAGAGAGAGAGAGAGACGCCACAAACTCCAAATATACAGCAGGCATCGTCAGGGTCGTGATCGAACCTGCAACCTCCTGTATACCAGGCGAGGTAGTTAACATCTCGCAATTGTGATCATGATAAGAGAGAGACGCCACAAACTCCAAATATGCAGCAGGCATCGTCAGGGTCGTGATCGAACCCGCAACCTCCTGTATACCAGGCGAGGTAGTTAACATCTCGCCAGGATCGTGAGAGGTGACGGCGTTGGTTTAATGATTTGCTACCGTGACTAGTGGTTTAGTGTACGGTCCATAGTTTGGGTTGCATGGAACACAATCGCACTCCGCCTGTGACTTGCCTTTCATTTTCTGTCCGTGAAGGAGATGAGTGCATCAGCCTGTTGATGTTCTGATGGTTACAACAGTGTCTTTGAGAACTGTCAAAACCCAGGAGGGGTGACATTTTGGTTTCAACCTAGGTGGTTTATTCTACAGGATCTGAGCGAGTTTATAGGATGGTGGCAGAACGATCCCAGAAGGGGAATTGAGATTGTGGCCAGGTACATTGTTGAGGTATTGGTCGATGATGGGTATAGGTGGTTGTCATTGGTAAGAAACGTGTACAGTATATCCCCTTGCAGTTTGCATGTCTCTGTGGATATTTGGTGGCATCAATGTCCGCAGATCCAGGGAGCCCCAGGGGATTGGCGTCGGTTTTCAGTGTCCTGGTTAAGAGTGCGCATTGCGTTATTCAATTGTGCACGTGGCAGTTTTGTGTACGAGTTCCCAGGCCAGGCGCACAGTACCTCTGCCACTGAGTAGATCAGGGGTGGGGAACGTCCGGCCTACGGGCCGTATAAAGCTCACAAAATCATTTGGTCTGGCCCTGCCAAGGCAACCGCAGGCGGGACTCGAAATGCAATAAATCTAGGAGCAATCCTGGAAAGGCAGTTGCGAGTAGCAACATCATCAATACCAGCTAACATCACACGCCTCGCCAAAGAGAAGCGGTTCCAGCCATCACATTAGGGGTGAGTTAATTAAATGTTTGACCAAATATAACAGGCTAAGTTTTAAGTTGACAATTTTGTATGGCCCGCGAATGATATCCAAATGGCCCTTGGCAGAAAAAAAGTTCCCCAGCCCTGGAGTAGATCGGCAGTGGTAGGGCGGTAGTTGTAAGCACATCAGTTGAGGCACGCCAGGTCGTTCCTGAAAGTTTCTGCAGCAGGGCAATATCTTGATTTGCTGTTTTTTTACAGATCGGTTTATGTGGGGCTTGACAGCCAGACTTCTGTCCATGATAACCCCTCGATATTTCTGAAGAGGGGGTTATAGTACACTGGGCTACCATCGAAGGACATCATCAAGGGTGGTTATCTGCTGCATGAACGTTCAGGTGCAAAGCACCTGCGGTGGTTTTGGATGGATTTGGTTGGAGTCTCTGGCGATGGAAATATCCCTCGAATAGCATCAGCTCAGCTGTGCGAGAATTGGCAATGTCTTCGAAGTTTGTGCCCTGTACATGAAGGGCTATATAATCTGCAAATATTTACCTGCGAGATGATGTTAATGGCAGGTCACATATATTGTTAAATAGTGATGGCCATCTTCACAGCAGCTGCTTTTGGCTAACCATCGAACAAAGTAGGTCACTGCATTGCACGCTTTCAGATGCTCTTCCGATATTAGGAAAACTAATTTCTATAGAACTGCTTTTTGTGTTTAGTTTGTTGACCTTCCCCCGCACCTCCGATTAGCATGGTTGGCTACGTATGGTGCGAAAGAAGTTTAACATACACGCACACATGGTGCTCGTGCTAAGCCTTGAGGGAGAATATTATTCACAATTCTCTTGCGGCTGTGTTTACTGGTGATGTGCACCCTAAGAGTGTAGTTGCTGATCACCGCGTCGTAAAGTAGAATGGCATCTGTTCATTTTAGCCATCTTCAGCAGCAGGCCGTGACGCCAAAAGGTGTCAAAGGGCAGCAGAGAAGTCAGTCATTGCTGTGCCGGTTTTCTTTGGAATGCAGAAAAACCATTGTCTATGAGGATGCTGAAGGCAACGGATGAGTTCGCAGCAGCTACGTCCAGTTTCGAAACCCGGCTTGGTCGGGGAGGCTGCATTGGGTCCGTAATGGGAGAAGTTTTGCAGTGGTGTGTGGAAAAACAACGTACTTGTTGTGCACCCTAACCTTTCAACTGAGAGATAAGCACAAACGTACCACACGGTGACTAAGGTCTTCGTGTGGTTTGTACGTTAAATGGGCTCGTGCTTGCTGGGCTTCTGACTTTTGTTGAGATTGGGGCGCAATCAGAGTGATATGGTCAGAGGCATTCAATGTAACATCCATCATTTTATGTTCTAAAAATGTAGCTTCTAAAAAAAAACCTCACTTTCATATTAAACGGTTGAATATCTTAAATATCGCTGTAATTAAATGCCCGTTGAGCTCATTTTTTTTCATTACACCCACTTCCCAATGTGGTATCAACTGCAAACCTGGTATACTTATGTCATACTGATGACAATACTATATTCTATATAAAAAAAAACATATTTTAAAACATGTTTTATGCTATGTTTTGGCTTGGCTCTAATTGTCCACGCTCAACTAACGTTGGCTGTAAATCACCACGGCCCCTTACGTTGTGGCAAGCTTCGAGGCCAATTCCCAGAATCGTGGAGTTCTGCCATTACTCGTACGGTACATTTCATTAAAGCGTGTTTTAAATATTACTTATTTGGTAAGTGTTTAGTTGTGCAATCTGTGCTCCAGTGTAGCTCAGTATTGTGCAGGTTTACCAGAATCACACCCAGAGCTACAGTTGCCTCGATTATCTGGGGAAATGTGAGGGGAGTGATGGCCCAGATAAAAAAAAACAAGGATAATGCAAAACCAATTTAAAATTAAGCTATAAACACATCCGTTCTGTTTACTAACGTAGAATAGGGGCTGAAGATGTAGAATGTGTCATCTTGATTTGTTTTCTTTAAGTAATTTATTTTTGTCTGCCTTAGTGTTTGTAGCAATGTGGGCACACTGAGTCACTGACCTCCAACGATTCAGGAGCAGCTAAACACATTCCTGCGGAGGGAGCTGGTAGGAACGTTGGGTTGCTCGGTCAATGGCCAGGGTCAACGGCGGCGTGGTGTATTCCGCAAATATGCTCGACTGTGAGGGCGGGCGCAACCCGGCGTGAGTAGGTTAAACGTTGCATTTTATAAGGGCACCACGGGGTGACCAGCCCCTCCCCACCCAGCCCCACCCCTCCCACCCCCCACCCAGCCCCTCCCCACCCAGCCCCTCCCCACCCTCCCCACCCAGCCTCTCCCCACCCTCCCCTCCCCACCCAGCCCCTCCCCACCCTCCCCACCCAGCCCCTCCCCACCCTCCCCACCCAGCCCCTCCCCACCCTCCCCTCCCCACCAAGCCCCACCCAGCCCAGCCCCACCCAGCCCCTCCCTCCCTACCCAGCCCCTCTCTCCCCACCCAGCCCCTCCCCACCCTCCCCGCCCAGCCCCTCCCCACCCTCCCCTCCCCACCAAGCCCCACCCAGCCCAGCCCCACCCAGCCCCTCCCTCCCCACCCAGCCCCTCCCTGCACAACGGACACAATAATCCCCTGTGGGCCGGTGTAACCAGGAGGTTCCTACCAGTACAACTTAACCAATGCGCATGGATGAGCAAGGTTAATCCGCAACCCGAATTCTCTGCCCACGGATAAAATCGAGAGCTAATGGGGTCAGCTCTACTATTATTGGGTTGTGGGCCAACAGGGTAATCCGAGTCATTGTCTCGAGTGAGATCTTCATTTAAAGGATAAGAAACGCCCGAGTTGTTAATGAAGGTGCCGATTCGCAGCATGCTAATAATGCAAGTACAGTGCAGATACACACAAGGAGGAGTTAATGAGACACCTAACCCGAAAGCTATTAACACAAATGTCTCTGCCTACCATTACAGGGCCAGGGTAAAGATAATTGCAGGGCAATTCTGGACTACATGTATTTACATTTTTCGAACGTTTTGTGAAGAAAAAAAACAGTGTATGGCCCAATGCAGTTTACAAAAAAAATGTACCCGTAAAAACAAAGTTTTTCACTATAAATCCTTTATATGCGTGGCGGCTAGAGTCCTCTCGTCCTCTGGTTTGAGATGGCTGCCACCTATGGGTCAGATGATTGCCTACCACCATTAAGCAATTGGTAATTAAATATAAAAAAAATTTCCCTAAAAAGTGTAAAATTTTTGAATTTTTTTTCACGAAAATAAATTGTCACGCACAACGAGTCTGTGTGCAAAATGTCAGCTCGATTGGATCACGGGAAGTGGGTTAAAAAACGACCGAAAGATTTGCACAGTCGTAAGCGGGCAAGCAAGCAAGTGAACTTAATATAAAGGATTTAAAAAACGCGCTTATTTTGATTTCAGGCCACAATTAAAGCCTCTCGCAGTGACACCATCCGCACGGTGGCAAAGGACTTCCTCTCATTTGTCAACAAGGGACCGTCACCTTACCATGGTAAGCTCGTCATTAACTTTCAAATTTCACCACCGCACAATCCCTGCCTCCTTTTAGATGGTGCTCTTTATGCTCGGTTAATTATCTTCACTTGCCATTGAGTCAGGTCTACATGAAAGCAGTTTTGTCGGCACAATTGCTATCCTTGCTGAGGCTTTCCCTCCCCTCCATTATTAAACTAATGTTGGTTTCTGGGGGATGTGGATTTTGTCCAGCGTGTATTCAATTAAATTACACGAGATGAAATTTCAGTTTAAATTCCATTTTCCTTCGTCTCGTATAGACTGCGTAGGTTATTGCGGTTCTGTCCTGTGCAGCTCTTCGATGTGTTTTTTTGAGTTTCTTCAAATGCTGAGAGCTTCTCAGAAACTGCATTTTTTCTGAAGAAGTTACCCTGAAGCAGAGATCGCAAACGGGTTTTGATTCCTTACCCCTCGTACCCATACCTGGCCGCACCAGGGTCGCAAACGGGTACCCGTACCCTACCCGATACCCGGCTACCCGTACCCGGCCGGGAATCGGGTAGGGTACGGGTACCCGATTGCAACCTCTGGGATGAAGCCATGTTGCAGGCACAGGTGGGTTTATTCTAGGAACTTGAATTGTGAGAAGAGACAAGACGTTGGGAAATGAGTGACAAACGGTTACTCACCAGTGACTCACGGCCTACCCATACCCATACCCGGCCGCACCAGGATCGCAAACGGCTACCCATACCCGGCCGGGTACGGGTAGCCGGGTATAGGGTAGGGTACGGGTATCGGGTACCCGGTTGCAACCTCTGCCCTGAAGAAGCTCCCAGCACTAGGGAGTGATACGTCGAACATCAAGCTGAACAACACTCGGCACAACTCGAAACACATCGGAGAGCTTTATCCAATATTTGAACGAAATGCAGTTACATTTAAATTGCAAAAAAAATCTCAAGTTAAATTTCATTGCAAGAAAATATTTTGAGCAAACCAGGCCCATTAAGCAAACATCATCTTTGTATTCTAGGTAACTTTGTGATGTGAATAGAGGGTGGTAAGTTTTATCTCTCCTAGGGTGCACATTTAAGTTGTTGTGTTTATTGTCAATACCAGCATAGTATACATCCAGGAATACAAATCGTGCATACCCATGTATTTAACGGTAATAATGTCACGATCCGAGTTTTTACAATGAGATTACGTCACACGTGGCTTGAAGTGTGACGTTGACAGATGATGTCACGCAAGTTCATGGGAGGCGAGGTACATGCATGATGTGTGACAACACGGCCTTGGCCGCAAAGGCTTATTTGGCACTGATTTTCGGCTGGTTTTCTATCCGGTAAGTGCCTTATAGCTTTAGACGTTAGTGTGATCATTGAACTTATTTCAGATCACCTTTACAGGAGTTCTCATGACCCCATGTTGCAGGCAGACGGACGGATAGAAGGACAGAGCTAATGCATGAATTAGCTCTGCTTTCAAACTTAGTTTGAAAAGTGTTAACAATAAACGTCAATGACGTTTCCTGCAGTGTATATATTATCACAAAATATCAGATCATGCAAGTGCTAATTTCTCCCGATTTGGAAACTTCTCGCCATTATTTTCGCAAGTTGTCAGTTTAATGCAAAAAAATTTTTTTACTCACATATTGTAACAAGCACTGCACCTTTGGACATTAACTTCTTGTCAGTTGCCTTATCACGTTGTGACATTCGCCTGCAGGAAATGTCATTGCGTGCAAAAAAAAAACCCCAAAAGTTGAAAAATAGGCCAAAAAATCGGAGTGACTTTGCGATGCACTTTCAGTGGCCCGAGTTGCTGGTGACCTCTTCATGTCTTGTGCGTGTGGGGCTTCTCCCAGTGGTGGAGGAGTGCAAGGTTCAGCTGAAGCTGGCGGGATTCCAAGAGCTCAAGGAGACTGAGCAATGGGACATTGCGCCAGCAAACAAGGTAACCCCGTTCACCTTGGTCGTCAGCTCTGCCATGCACCCCTCCCTTTTCTCAGCTCAATTCCAACTGTGGCCGCTATGGGTTTCCGAGTTGCTGCTGCTGCTGCGATGTAATGGTTAGAGCGCAATGGACTTTCAGTCCAGAGTTCGCCGGTTCGACCTCCCGGCACGGCAGTTAAAACAATGGGGCAGGTCTTCTTATATCTCCCCGCCTCTGTCAACCCAGCAGAATAAATGGGTACTTGACTGTCATTCGGCAGTGCTTGCCCATGACTTTTTCACAACTCCTTGCCAGCGTGGAAGAGTAGGCCAAATTACCTGCTAGAGGGGATCTCCAGAGCTCCCTCTAATGGTGGCTCTTGTGCCAGTATTAGTGTTTAAGCAATTGCAGGGCTGTATTTTTATATATTTTTTTTAAATTGAGTTCACCCGGGCGTCCTAGATTGTCTGCTCCACAGGCGGGCTCAAAGATTGATTCTCGCCAATGTGGGAATATTAATGAACCGAAAAAAAAACCGCACGCACAAAGGATCTCGGAAGACGTCACCGCGACACGAAATCTCCATTTTGCATGGCAAGTTGGGTATTACAGTATTATCCACGGACCGACGGCTGCTATTGGCGACTTGAGGATTATGCAAGCGCATTGCGCAGTTCGTGTTGTTAAACACAAATTGTTGGCGCTTCATTGGTTGTATATAATGCCGAAAAGAGAAGCATTTTGATATTAGAAACAGACGGAAGGCAGGCGCGATTCGACAATTGGAGCCTTTTCGAGGCTTTCTGGAGAGTGTTGGCATCGTCATAAAATATGTCTCGATTTTTTTTTATGCCTTGCCCTGATATTTATAAATGCGACTTTGTTGCACTGTACTGTGTATAGGCCTGTTGTTATGATTTGCCAGGCCCTTATGGTTCAGAGGTCACGGTTTGAATCTGGCAGCCTCTAGGGCTGCAGGGGGAGGGGGGGGTCACATGACCTCATTATTTACAACGTATACAAATGTTTAAATATTTCATTCTCACGTGCGCCATTTGATGTGTGTATCGTAACAAAAAATGTATTAAAATGTTTGCATTGCTGGTCAGGTTGCAATGATTCACCTTTCTGGTGATAAATTGTTGCTATTCACAGCTGCCAATTTGTTCAAGAATCCATCATTATTCGTCTAATTTTTACTGTCTGTGTTTTTTTATTTGTCTGATTTGTTCACTTCATTATCCCAAAAATTAACTCGAGCATATGATTAGCATATAATTTACATAACCATTACACACAATCGTAGGCATCTGGAGCCTTAAGAGTTTCAAGTTTTATATTTATTAACCCAAGTACGAATTCTAGAGACTAGGATTGTCGCAGTTGCAAGAGAGTGACCTTCATCACCACAATGGCAAGAGTGAAACGAATAAGCGATTGTAATCGGTGCAAAAGCAACTGTGTCAACTATGTACGATGTCAAATGCAATTGCAAGTGAAGTTATCTTAAATTGACAGTTTGGCTTAAATATTATGAGTAACTAAAGACATTCCGTGTTAATGGATGCACCTCTGACTAGCACGGTTGGCTGTGCACAGTGCGAAAGAAGTTCAACATACAGATGCGTATTTACACTCATGATAATTACACCTCCAGGACTTGCAATATTGCCTTAAACCTCATGCCGGAGTTGACATGGTGTGTGTGTTATGTCTTTGTTTTTTCAGTACTTTGTGACTAGAAACTACTCGACGATCATCGCGTTTGCCGTGGGCGGGAAGTACAAGCCAGGGAATGGGTTCAGCATCATCGGAGCTCACACGGACAGCCCCTGTCTCAGGGTCAGAAACGGCGTGGCCTTTGTCTCACCCATTCCAACATTATTGTCTCATCAACAGCTCTCCCTTAAAAAAAAATAGACTGCTCGCCTCGCTTGATTGTAAATAAAGGTCATCTGATAATCGAAAAATCCAGACGCCATCTCTACAGGCGAACGAAAAACATTCTTTTTCAGTCCGTCAGTGTATGGACTTCCCGAGCCGATATTTACAGCTGCATTTGTTAAAGTAAGACAACCTGTGGACTGGCGTCTATGTTCTGGGTCTCATCAGCAGAGTAAGGCCATATTTAAGCATCTTCGGTTGTAGAAACTCAAAAGGAAAGGTTCGAGAGGTGGCAGTGGAATCTGGGAAGTAGTTTGTTGGAGATGCCTATTTAGTCATAGACATGCTCACAGAGAATGCGGTGCTGTTGATAGGCAACAGAAATGTTGCAGAGAACTAGGACTGAGAATGGCCCGAGGTCTGCAGAGATAATATTATTTAACACATGAAAGAGACTGGTTTCTGTTTAATGGCCTTGGTGGAAACCAGATGACACTGAGTCGTTGCAGCATGGCCATGGAGGGGGGAAGAGGTGTTTGGAGAGATAGGGATAAGATAGCTCCTTCTAGGATTTTTTCGAGTGATAAGGGAGGAAGGGGTTTGAGTTTGGATGGACGTAGGCAGGGATGTTGGATCCGAGTTTGCAGAGGTGTGGACTCGAGTCATGTGACTTGGACTCGAGTCAGACTCGAGTCATGAATTTGATGACTTGAGACTCGACTTGGACTTGCATAACAATGACTTTGTCCCACCTCTGAGGTGTGGACTCGAGTCATGTGACTTGGACTCGAGTCAGACTCGAGTCATGAATTTGATGACTTGAGACTCGACTTGGACTTGCATAACAATGACTTTGTCCCACCTCTCCGAGTTTGGATATTTTTCAGGATGGGAGTGAAAGCGGCACGGCTCACCCTGCTGATCTCGGCACCAGCTTGAAAGGGGCGGGGGCGGGGAGGTGATGAGATTTGCTCAAAAGTGGTGAAATATTTTAGGAGTTTATAGCAAGAGAATTTAAAGTCGGGGTTTTAAGACGACAGTAATTTTCCCCAGCCCCACTGACAAGAGGAGCAAAGCTGTGTGCGCACGTAGAGGTGGTAGCCAAGGGGGGGCAGCTCAAGAGAGTGGAGCGGAGCTCACGCAATAGTGTGCCAAGCCAAGCCTCGGTGAGACAGGATATGAGGATGTGAATTATACACCATCCATTTACACGTCACCCATAAGGCTCTGTTAATGATGACACTGGTGGAGAGATTTCACCTTGGAATCAATGCTGCCTACAGTTTCGCTGCCAACGTGTTTGATTGTGCGTTTTGTTATGCTAACATCCGCTGTTGGCTGTCTGCTGATTGCCACGTCAGTAGGACTTCTGACTGCAACAGCACTTGCTCCAACTGTCGAAAAGTGTAAATGGGGGACTGTTGTCAATTTGTGTGTGCGTGCGTGCGTACTTGTGCGATCTAACCCAAACCCCGCCCCCCCCTTATTATTATGAATAATCAGGTAAAACCACGCTCGCGGAAGCTGAGTGCCGGGTGCCTGCAAGTGAGCGTGGAGTGTTACGGAGGAGGCATCTGGAACACGTGGTTCGACCGGGACCTCACCGTGGCTGGCCGCGTCATTGTCAAGGTGGTACATCGCTTTGTACACCTGGGCTCTCTTATTATTATTACTCTGCCTATTGTTGGTTCGATTACTCGCGCCCATCGGATAACACGACAATATCTTGCCTCTCCTTTCACACATGTGCCACTGGACTGGAGGTGGTGGATGAGGCTTAGCGACGTCATTGGCATGATCGGCACGGTTGGCTACGTGCGGTGCGAAAGAAGTTCAACGTACATACTGTTGCGCTGGGCATGGCTTGTCGGGGGGTTTCCTAACTTCAGGAGGCAAGATGTGGGCGGGTCAGCCATTTTTAAAGGTGGCTGAGCAAATCGACCACGATGTAGGTAATCGATTACGATTTATGGACGATTCATTTAATTAAACATCATGAATAGCTTCATAACGAATTCATGATATTGGACATTAAAAAGAAAGAGTAAGTCAGGCTCATGCTGTTCACTGTAACAATTCATACCCTCCCCTCCCTCCGCCCCTCCCAGCGATTCGATGAATCATCACGGATTGAGGTTGCAAATCCCATCCAGGATCAATATATTTTCTTGGTCTTTTTTTGTATAATTTTGTTATTTCTGTCTCCTATTTTTGTTCACTCCGTTAGCCTGGCATGTAACGTTGGCATTTCGTTTTGCGTCCAGTAATCAATTCTCACACGTACGAATCAACACGTGTATCGTGCGTGCAGTAATCTATTTTTATCTTTACTTGCCGATTGTTCACCTCTCTGCACGTGTGTTTTTAACCGGCCTGATTTTTTTTTTTGCTCGCAGGGTCTTGCTTGTTATAAGCCCCAGCGCGTGCTCTTTAAATGTCATTAGCAGCCTGCTCAGCTGATTTTTTGACCAGTTAATGCAATTTGTCACAGTAGCATTTGCAGGGGCTGCTTATTCGATTACACCCACGACCATCACGTGAATGTAATTGTCCTCTTGGCGACCTCTGGCACCATGGCCATCGCAAACCACAACCTCGTTTGTGTCCGATATCGCAAGTGCAAGCAATCGTTTATTTATTTATTCTCGCCTCCATCCTTTGTTATGCAATCTAATCCGAATGCTATTTGCAATGCTGCCACAGAATCTCCTGTTGCGCGAGCACCTTGACCCCTCGAGCCAGAACCGACGTTTGTCTTCAGCATTGCACCCGTTTTTGCCAGATTAGCTTAAACGGGCATTACCGCCGGCTCGGGGAATGTCTTTATGCAGTTTCGCCAGTGATGGCCTGTAATCTAGCACCGTGGAGCCGAGAGTTTGTGGATCGCACAAATGTTGCACAACTCCCTTCTCGTGGGCGTCGGGGTGCCATACGTCGTGGCAGTATAGAACAAAATGTGGACCCCCCCAATATGTTCCGTATGTATGGGATGGAGTGTCTCCCCTCGCACGTGTGGGTATCCTCCAGGTGCTCCGGTTTCCTCCCAAATGTAAACGCTCATCAGTTGGCCGATAACACTTTAACAAATTTTCCAGTATTAATATATTGCATGATAAAAAAAAAGCTTTACCCTTTCTGGCATAAATACAGGTGTCAAGATGTTGAACACCTTTAATATATGTAGGACCGCAGAGCTTCACACTTCTGAGTTGTTCACTGTCTTCGAGAGTTCGCAAATACTGTGCACGTTAAAAGTTTGAATTAACACATTCCTGCGGAAGGAGCTGGTAGGAACGTTAGGTTGCTCGGTCAATGGCCAGGGTCAACGGCGGCATGGTGTATTCCGCATATACGGCCGACTGTGAGGGCGGGCACAAGCCGGCGTGAGTAGGTTAAACGTTGAGTTTTATAAGGGCACCACGAGGTGACCAGCCCCTCCCCACCCAGCCCCACCCCTCCCACCCCCCACCCAGCCCCTCCCCATCCTCCCAGCCCCTCCCCACCCTCCTCTCTCCACCCAGCCCCACCCCTCCTATTTTTGTATGCACGACGGACGGACGGACACAATAATATCCTGTGGGCTGGTGGAACCAGAAGGTTCCTACCAGTATTATTGAACTTCATACCAAACCTGTACCAAACTTGGACAGATCATAGATAGATCAGATACGAGGATACATCGTACAATGTAAGATCCATGATAATCACATCAGCAACAGCAGGGTGGTGGGGCGGGGGGGAGGACATACATATTCCACGCAGAAATCCGCCCGAGTCAGGAATCGAATCTGGGACTTCCTTGCCGAGAGGCACAAGTGTTACTACTGCGCCACGCTGCGACCCTGTTATGAAAATTCCGTTGCACAGTTAAGTGACGCTTGCGTCGGCGGTAATTGGCGCATTGTGAAAATTACTAACGTGGCGTGTCGTGGACAAGAGTATGGCGGGCAACCCGACTAAACAGCTGGGTGATTCTCTGCCGCAGTGGCATTGGCTTTGCTTCACGCCCGATTGCACGGGCGCTGCATTCTGTTACCGCCGTCCGTACTGGGTCAGAATTTTCAATGGTTTCTCTTGGTTTGGACGCAGTCTTAAACGACCCGTCCCTGCGGGAACGCGTGTCCCCGGAACGGCCCTGTGCTGTCGAGAAGAAAATAAATATAGAGGGGATGGTCAGGTGCGTTGTTGGCCTCTCTTGGGGTCGCGTTAAGGGTGCTCGCTAACAGGCGAAACTGGGGCTGCCCCCAAGGGGTGTAATAGCTCGGTAGCCAGCTGTACCTCGATACGGCAAGGGCCAATCGCGCTTATTGAAATGGTGTGTGGAGAATGCCTGTCTGTGTGTATCCACGTCTTGGAGCCGCTACACCGACCTCATGATTTGACACTGGTTAAGAATCTGTAATGCCACGGGGTGCAAATGGACCTGGGTGCCCCGCAGTTTGTTCACAATGCGAACTTCACGTGCGCCAAGTTGCGGAAAGAAGTCTTCGGTGACATTCGAAGATATGCTTACCTGTACGGCCTTTTTTTGTCAATCTGCTGCTGGATGAGGGGCTGACCCATGCCGGACTAGTTGCGGCAGTTAATTAACGATACTCCCACCACATTGACCGGCGCAGGTGAGTGAAGCAGGCGATCGTAGACTGTGGGAGCGTAGGAATATTGCAACGACAATGGAATCTTCTGCACTGCCCATCATGTAAACTCCGCAGATGCCGATAACAACCTGGCCATGCGTCACCCGTGCATGCATTGTTGCAAGCCTTGTTAGATCTCACGATATATATGAGGAATACAGAGTTCAGTGCATGTGTAATGTGAGGTAAGACCTGGATGATTAATTGGTTACACCTGGATGATGACGATTGACTCTGCCGGCCTCAGCCCACAACCAATGGGGAGTCGAGTTAGTGGCGTGGCCCTGGGGCCGTAGAGTGGGCTCTGGAAGGTTCCAGGGAGGTGGCTGAGGATTGGCTGCGAGGCACCACGTGGGCCAGGGATTAAAAGGGGCGGAGACGGACAGCACGTGGTCAGAGCTTGGAGGAACGAAGGTGGAAGTCACGCTCGTGCGGAGGCCCGGAGCCTGCCACGTGTCGGGCTGCGGCAGTCTCTCTCTCCCTCTCTCTCTCTCACGCTGTCTGCCAACAGCGTGAAGGAACCGAGTATCGTGAGAGCTGTGAAAGAAACTTAATAAAGAATACTGAATTCCAGAAGTCGTCTCAACGACCTTTATTACACATGCATATTATTATTCCTCTCTTTCAGAATGGCGACAAGTTGGAGCACCGTCTCGTACACGTGGAACGGCCGATTCTTCGCATCCCTCACCTAGCCATCCACCTGCAGAGGGATGTCAATGAGAGCTTTGGCCCCAACAAACAGCTCCACCTGTAATTGTGGGACACTGGGGGATGGCATTTGCACGCGCACCACCTCTTACACCCCCGCACGACCATGCACGTGTATTTGAATGCCCCGGCTGTGAACAGTAACCACGGAACACGATGCGACAATTAACGTCTCATTAGCGTGGTGCGGCTGTGCTCTGACCAAACGTAATTTTCCGTGTCGTGCATAGTTCACGCGGAGTGTGCGCGTTTCTGTGCGCTCATTTACTACTGAGTGACGCGGCTTTATTAGGCGGTCGTCGTTTTACCAACGATGGTGGAGTGACGGAATCTAATCGAACCCAGGAAGGATTTTATCATTGGCCTCGCAATTGCTGGGGTTGCTGCTGTGGTAATGGTTAGCGCATCGGACTTGAAATCCAGAGGATCGCCCAGTTCTGTTTGCTATCACGGCGCTGCAGTTTGAAACAATGGGGCGAGTTTCTTAAATCCCCCATTTCCGCCTGCCTCTGTCCACCCAGAGCAGGATAAATGGGTGCACACCAGTTGATCGGAAGGTCTCAAATTCTTTCAAGACGCTTGTTCAGTGTGGAAGAGTGGAACAGAACAAAACACCTGTTCGCGGCGGTCTCTAGAGCACCATCGAGTGTTGGCCCTTCTGCCTGCAGGAGTACGAGCAAGCAATTGCAGGGCTGTACCTGACAACCTGGTGGCCTGACATTACCAACCAAACTATCCCAGCCACTTAAATAGTCTTATATTATAACATGCCACATTCTCCAGATTATAAGACCTTTCAGAAAGTAAAACGCACAATAAGCTTGCGGCCCGTGCCATTAAAGTGATACAAATTTAATTTCGCACACAGCTAACTGGGCCATAAGACGCACCCCGAAAACTTTGGCTTTTAAAAGACGGGGAGAGAAAAAAAAATTAACCCGTAAAAACAAAGTTTTCCACTATAAATCCTTTATATGCGTGTTCAATGGACCACAACCCAGCCCACATTGGTCTTTGAAACGGGCGGCTAGAGTCCTCTCGTCCTCTGGCTTGAGATGGCTACCACCTATGGGTCACATGATTGCCTGCCACCATTAAGCAATTGGTAATTAAATATAATTTATTTTTTCCTAAAAAGTGGAAAATTTTGGCACAACGAGTCTGTGTGGAAAATGTCAGCTCGATTGGATCACGGAAAGTGGGTTAAAAAACGACCGAAAGATTTGCACGGTCGTAAGCGCGCAAGCAAGCAAGCAAGTGAACTTAATATAAAGGATTTAAAAAACGTGCGTCTTATAATCCGGAAAATATACGGTAATAACACTATCTTCTTTTTTTTTTGCTTGCATACTTTTGCCCACCAGAGTGCCAATTCTGGCCACGTCCATCCAGGAGGAGTTGGAGACTGGCGCTAAAAGCAGCAGCAGCGATGTCAGCAGTGCGGTGAAAACAGTAAGCCTCTAATGGGTTCCTTTCATTATGGCGGGAGGGTCCCTTGAGCACACAAAGCAGAGCACATGATTAATATTGACATGACTGGGAATGCAGAATATTTGAAGCCATTGATCCTTTTTGATTGTGCTGTAGATGCCCCCCCCTTCCAATACGTCATCATGCGCACCAACAGGGACTTGCGCACAAACACGTCCACGTCTCCGTGCACCTCGTGCTCTCTTTTAGCCCCGCCCCCCCTCCCGATACGTTCCATTCATTGGCTACCACATTCTGATAAGCTCCCCCCACCCTCTCCTCCCCCTTAACTTGTATTTAAGAGCTTGCATCTTGGAATCCCTGCCTCACTTGATACAGCAAATCTGGCTGTGACGGTCCCACCTGATGACGGAGACTTGTGTTGCCTCCGAAACGTCGTGATTTTTTATTTTTATTTTATTATTTTATTTTTATTAATTTCATTTTTTACCTACGTGACTTTACCAAAAGAACTAAGAGTATGGCGGCGTATGTCTGCCGCCAAATGCAAACACCTTTTCAAATGTGGCATGCGCGCGTCCGTTTATTTGTATTTCTTTTTAGACGCAGCATGAGAGAGATTGCTTTCTGTACGGGGGAAAAAAGGTCTTAACAATAGTGTTGTTTCACGTGCTTTTTACAACTACAGGTTTCATGGACGTGGAATTGATTACCTTGTTCAAATCTGTCTCCGTGGATGTGTCGACCTGTAAGTAGGGCAGGATTAATTCCAGAGGAATCTCTGATGGGCCAGGGTGAAATACCATATGGTAGGTTAACAGTCGACCTGCGTAATTCTTCGAGCAGAGAGAATAAAACAACGATTGTCGTCACCGCATGATGAAATACGAAGGAGCCAAGGCTGTTGCACGTTTGGATGTTGAATGAACTTGAGTATCTTCTTGGTTCTTTCGGTAAAGTCACGTAGAATGGAAATAATAAAATAATAAAAATAAAACATAACAGAACAGGTCTGTCGACAGACCTGTTCTTCACCTGAGGACGGCTGCTTGCGTTGTGGCCGAAACGTTGTGAGAATTATTTTATTATGTTTTATTTTTATTATTTCCATTCTACGTGACTTTACCGAAAGATCCAAGAAGATGAATCCCTGCAGTCACGAAAGCTTTAAATCGAAATTGAACTTGAGTAATAAAACATTTATTTGGTGCTTTTACTACATTGGTAGTGGGGTGCACAAGCACAAATAGCAACAAAAAAACTCAACACACTCGTTCATAACAACGCCTTTAAAATAAACATATATGAACCTTGTAGCGGGACCCCGGGGTCCCATAAGCTCCTGGCTCTCGCACAAACTTCATTGCGACGTCATCTTATGTCTGTTGAAGGCGAACGTTTCCTCTCGACGAGCTCTACACGATGCGCTAATCAAAGTTTAAAAGTTTTGTTTATGGCTACGGAACTTTTGGCAACGACGGGTGCTTGGTGAAGAACGAGAGGATTGATTTCTGGTGGGCCGCGGCGTTTATGTGCGCGGAGGGACGGAGTCGCCAAAAATAAACTAATTAATTACGATTTTGACTTCTGGGGTCCCGCCATAAGGTACATATGATAGCCGACGTTTTGGGCAATGGCCCTTCCACAGCACATAGAGAGGCCAGAGGAGAGATCCTCGCCCAGGAGGGGATTGACAACAAGCGCTGTGCGTGAACGGTGCCCACGTTCTAGCCGCTGCTGATGCTTCTGTCTTCAGAATGTATTTATAGGAGTCATGTGATTCATCCACCACGTGCCCCTGGTGCTTGCCTTCCCGCCCCCCCCTCCTGAGCCGCTCAGACCAAAACGTAAACATGGCGATGGAGGAGTGGGGTGGGGGGTGTGACGGGGGGAGAAGGGGGGTGATTGGCATCAGCAGCCAGTGTTTTGAAACGTTTCTTATCCTATTCTTAGGTTTTTTCGGTAAAGTCACGTAGGTAAAAAATTAAAATTAATAAAAGTAAAATAAAAAATAAAATAAAAATCATATATACTGGTTATATAAAAATACGGTTTTCTTGGAATTTCTCTCACTTGATACAGCTATCGTGCTGTGACTGTTCCACCTGAAGACGGAAGCTTGTGTTGCCTCCGAAACGTCGTGATTTTTATTAAATTTTTTATTTTACTTTTATTAATAAAAATGTTTTACCTACATGACTTTACCGAAAAAAACCTAAGAATATCAATCCTTGCAGTCACGAAAGCTTCAAATGTAGAGTTTCTTATCCTACGTACGGGACGGAAATCCATGAAAAGCGTGTGTTTGGCGTGTTCGTTAGGCAGATAAGCACCACCCCGTGCTCCTCTCCATCCTCTGCGAGAGACTCAAGGTTGACCCCGGTGACCTCCTCGACTTTGAGCTCTGTCTGGCGGACACGCAGCCCGCGGTAAGTGCGCCTCCTCCCCATGCACGTATCCTACAATTGAGAACCGTAATTATCCTCGCTCTGGGTGGCTTTGTCGATTCCCGCTCACGACCAACACCGGTGACGATTATCTGAACTGGTCCTGGGTCTCCCCTAGGTCGACTCGGCCTCAAATGAGTACCTGGTGCGGTGTGTAAACATCGGCACCGGGGAGACGACGGCCGTGCGTGGTGTTGGCCACCCACCCCCTCGTGTGCCGTTCTGGCCTTCATGGGTGCTCGCTAACAGCACTTGCCCCAACAGTCTAAGGCTATACGGTGGATCTTTGTCTTATGGGTTTTTGTTATACGCACATGGCAGTATTGACGCGCACACAATCCACCGCAATTGATAGTCAGAATGTTGGTGGTGATAGACGGTGGTGGATGGGTCTGTGTGTTCATCTATGATGATGTCATGGGTTTATTTCCAATGTGCTCTGCAGCCAGCATCAGGCTTTGATAATTACCCACAGAAAGTGCTAAGTAGCGAGCACACGAGCCGTCACGTTTGACGGCTGTCTTCTGACATTGCTCAGCGTCGGGCATTGTTTGCTAAATTACTAAAAACTCAACACATTCGTCAATAGCACTGCCCGAAAAGGGGAGAGAGAGAGAGAAAAACAATCTATAACAAGTGACATTTCAGTCAACGGCCTTTCTTCGTAGCATCTCTGCAATGTTTGACGAATATGTTATGTGTTTTTTGTGATTTGTGCTTGTGCACCACTTCCAATGCAGTATGGGTGGGTTTTTAAAATATTTATTTTACCAAATACCATTTTGTTGTACAGTCAGCTCTCAATTATCTAGGGTTATGGAACACGGAGGGATTGCTCGGATAACCAATGCAGATGAGGCTACAACAACAGAAACACATTCCTGCGGAGGGAGCTGGTAGGAACGTTGGGTTGCTCGGTCAATGGTCAGGGTCAACGGCGGCGTGGTGTATTCCGCAAATATGCCCGACTGTGAGGGCGGGCACAAGCCGGCGTGAGTAGGTTAAACGTTGAGCTTTATAAGGGCACCACGGGGTGACCAGCCCCTCCTCACCCAGCCACACCCCTCCCACCCTCCCCACGCAGCCCCTCCCCACCCTCCCCACCCAGCCCCTCCCTCCCCACCCAGCCCCTCCCTGCATGACGGACTCAATAATCCCCTGTGGGCTGGTGTAACCAGGAGGTTCCTACCCGTATTATTGCTCAACTATGTAGGATGTAGTTTAAGACGGAGGATGTGTTGACTGTTTTTGTTGCTTCTTTAAGTAGTCGGCTTACTTGTCATGAACCCTCGGACGAGCGGGGATCAGAGATTAATCGATTAAAACAGCCAGCGTAGAAACACACGTTTTATAATCCGCAAGTCCAATAGTCCCGTCTTTGGATAACCGAGAGTGAACTGGAATATTGAGTTGGTAACTTATGTATGCTCACGATACATGCATTGATCGTGCATGTAAGAATCGATTACTTAAAATGTATGATAATGATGTCGACTATATATCCTAACGTCCGGTAAGCAGTTAGTGCCCTACGCACTGAACCCGGATACCCGAGTTCCATTTGTGCCCTAAGCTAACGTCATTATATTCTTGGTTCTTTCGGTAAAGTCACGTAGAAGGGAAATAATAAAATAATAAAAATATAAAACAATAAAATAAAAATATCGCGACGTTTTGATCGCAGGAAAACATGTTTTCCTGCCTCAGCAGTTCTCCCGCTATATTTTTTCACCTGATGACGATTGCTTGTTGCGATCGAAACGTCGTGATGTTTTTATTATTTTTATTATTCTTATTAAATCCTTTATATTAAGTTCGCTTGCTTGCTTACGACCGTGCAAATCTTTCGGGCGTTTTTTAACCCACTTTCCGTGATCCAATCGAGCTGACATTTTCCACACAGACTCGTTGTGCGTGACAATTAATGTTCGTGAAAAATGTTTTCCCAAATTTTACACTTTGTAGGACAAAAATATTATATTTAATTACCAATTTCTTAATGGTGCAATGCAATCATCTGACCCATAAGTTGCAGCCATCTCAAGCCCGAGGACGAGAAGACTCTAGCCGCCACGCATATAAAGGATTTATAGTGAAAAACTTAGTTTTTACGGGTTATACTTGTATCTACCTGACTTTACCGAAAGAACCAAGAATACGAATCCCTGCAGTCACGAAAGCTTTAAATCAAAATCTAACGTCATTAGTGAACCGCCTCTGGCCCCTCCTCTAATTCACACTTACCATCATGGTAAAGCGCAGTCGAGCAAACCCAATGACTGACACGGCATGGAAAGGCCATGCAGTGGCTTGACCAAAGGGATTGTGTGAACGTTTTGTATAAAATCACCGTATGTTTGTATGCTAATGGAGCAAGCGATACTGGACAAACGGAAAAAAATGATGCAAGTGAGATGCTAAAAATATTACAAAGAATCCTTTTTTTTTATCGAATCGCACCCCCACATCACAATTCATAGAATCTCTGGGGGTGGGGGGGGTGTGGCATGGGGGGAATCTGTACCTCTGACATAATTTATACCGTTTATAAAAGCGCGAGATTGAGAAGGACACATCGCTAGAAGGGACGATGGCCAACGAACGGAATCGCTAGAATCTTTATTTTACCGTCGAGAAATCCGATGAGCTATGAAGCTCATTGTCACAGACGTCTGGAATAGTGACGGCGTGGAACTCTTCCGAGAGGACGTCCACCGAGGGAACATGCGCAGCACGGAATAAACCCCTGCGCAGCTGTTGGGTATATTGTTGCTTTGCAGAATCGTGAAGGGGGAAGGTGGTGAGGGCTTGGTGGGTGGGTGGGGGGGGGGAGACGATGAACTGAATGTAACTTAATGGACATTTGATTCAATGTGAAGTTTGGCACCGAAACGCGCTGTAACATCGTGAGGCAAAGTCGTCTCCTCCCTTCAAGTGCAATATCTCTGTGTTGTGCGCGCCGTGGCGCCGGTACTTCAGAGAAGGCTATCTCACGGACATGAAGCGGGATTTCTTTATTTTTCACGCAGTAATTTCGACTGCGTTTCAAGGAAGCCGAGTGCGTAAATTGTTAATCCTGTCGTATTTCAATAAGGCCGTTAAGAAAACCACGTGCATTTTTATTGTAATAGCGTTTGTTCAAATTATTCTCGTTGGAACATTTTCATTTAAGAAGGGGACATTCGTTGCATGAAATGCTGTAATTTGCAATGGTTTATGTAATTATAATTGTGTTTTTTTCCCCCCCCATAACATGATTTTGTACCTGTTTAAAATATTTTTTGGACGTCTTGTTTTATTTTATCGTTTAGCATATTCAGGTTTTTTTTTGTTCTCATTAAATGTCATTGTGGATGTGGCACAACTTAATTTTTAATTCCAACGCATTTATTTTTCATGGAATGGGATCAACAGTTGACTTTGAGGTCACGTTCCAATTTCAGGTTGTCTGCATTTTGTAATATATTTTTTCTCCCGTGCAAGGCCCTGGGTGGAGCCTTTGAAGAATTCATTTTTGGGCCACGGCTGGATAATTTGCACAGTTGTTACTGTGCCATGCAGGTAACAACCAGTGGGAGTTCTTGTACTTTCTGTCACTCCAGTTGGCCTGTTTCTCTCCGTTTAGCCTGTATAGCCAAGACCTATTACTTTTGTGCTTATTTAAAATGTGTCTGTTTGCTCAGAATTTCAATCTGTTTACATTTGGCTATCTTGAATTTTGGTCACATGTTTTGGCTGCTGGCATGGTTGTAATGGTCAGCACACTGGACATGCAATCCAGAAGTCGCCATTTGAATCTCCCGGCGCGGCAGTTGAAAGCAGTGGCATGACCAAGCATCCTTTTATGGATAGCTGCACGTGCAGAATTTTATTTTAGCATTTTTTAGCCGCGATCTTGTCCGCATGCAATTGCTGTACGTAAATGTTGTACCAACATTGCGCAGAACTTTACAGATCGGCAATATTTAAATGCTTAAGTCACGCACGCAAGCCTTTTCATCAAATAACACCGTCTAAATATTTCTGCTTCATGTGTTTATCTACGTCATGTAAGCGACTTGACCCTTGGAAGCTGGAGCGCAACTCCTCTGACTGTTTTACGCCTTCCGCACCAGGCTTTGATCCAGTCGAGTGTGGCTGGCGCCTCCCTTGACAACGACCCCAACATCCGCATCGTGACACTCTTTGACAATGAGGAGGTAATGTCTTCTGGTCCCTGTCGGAACCGATTGAACTGCTTGTCCATTTTCCACTGGCACATTCAAGCTGCGCCAGCACGGGGCCCTCGCAGTATGGGTGTTTTTCCACTGACCGTTTTTGTCGTGTCGAGCCGGAGCTGAATCGTGAAACTCTGGTCTCGCCAAGGCACGTGAATCTATCTGGCTTTGGGGCCAAGCAGAGCCAGGGTGGTGCATTTCATCAAAATGAATTTTCCAAAGGAGAAAAATGTTGCCGACATTGAGTTGCTCATGAGGGCGCTTTGATGTTTTGAATGCACTTGATCGCAGCTATTTTGAAACCAGTTTGGCGCAGTCAAGCAGCGTCAATCTCAGCGCTCTATTCCTCTGATGTGTACTTAGGGTTACCTTACAGCTTGCTTGAAAAAGAGCGGATAGCTGTGAAGTAGAGCTCACTAATCTGTCTCTTGAGGCACTCTCTTCCAGGTCAAATAATCAGGCTTTTTCATGAACAAGAAAATAATACATTGGCTAGCATTGGCTCCGGACCATCGGCAGAGATAATCACCACCTAACACTTGTTTGAGTATGAAGACAATTTGAAAGCTGTGATATACTCGCGACATTTTAGGGGGATTGTGACCAGTGTTTCTCGATTGGCAATGCATTTATTACGAGTAACCATTGCAACCTGGATTTCTTGCATTCAAGGCCAGGACCCATGAGGCCAAAGCTGAAATCAAGGCCGAAAGCCAGAAGGCCGAGGCGGGGGAGGGGGGCCTTTTAGTTCGCGATGGTCACCTGTTGTTTTTCAAGTAGTTCTGAGCACAGATTTAATGCATACAATCTTTAGCGTGGTCTAGTATCGACTCATGGGCGGTAACATTGCTGAGTGGTAGAGCGTTTGGTACATGTTGCAGGGGTTCGCGGTTCAAGTCCAGCGGCCGCTCTGGTTAATAGTGTCGGTGTGTTCATCAAACAAATAAATACGCAATCCGCCTCGGAGTGGATGTTAAAAAACCCGTGGCGTTAGAAAAAGTATAGGGCCACATGTCCCACCGCAATTGTCAAAATTTGGCAAGTGTCTAAATAACAAAACAATACGGAATTGGATAAAAAAAACACTTGGCAGCATTGCCCCTCAGTGTGAAAGAACCGCTGACTTTAGTCTGTGAAAACATCGTGCCTCCGTGATAGCCTTGCGTTATAAGATTGTACGTACGGTATGTTGATCTTCTTTCGCGCCATACGTAGCCAAACGTGCTAATCGGAGGTGCGGGGGAAGGGCGACAAACTAAAACACAAGATTGGCACGCATAGAAAACGTCCTCATGAAGGTGGAGATATATATAGAAAGAGGTTTCCCCACCCTTGCCATAATGCACATCGTGCCCCCTCCCCGCTAGTAACGGCGCCACTGCTCCGCGTCTGGTCGACAGGTCGGCTCGGAGAGCGCGCACGGCGCCGCGTCCAACCTCACGGAGATGATTCTCCGGCGGCTGGCGTCCAGCGCCTCCAACCCCGTGGCGTTCGAGCAGGCGGTGCCCAAGTCGCTGATCATCAGCGCCGACATGGCGCACGGCGTGCACCCAAACTACGCGTGAGTGCTCGCCGGAAAACAAAAATAAAAGTGCGCGGCGATCCGTTTTGGATGATGGAGAAAGTATCGGTTTTTTTTGTTTTGGGGGGTGAAGTGAAAAACGCATTGGTGTGTGTGACGATTGTTGCTGCTGCTGCTGCTGCTGCTGCGTGTTTTTTTCCCCCAATTTGATGGCCGTTGTGCGGTCGTCGGCATCACCGCGGTACGTGGGGTTTGTCACGAACAAATAATTTATGAGCAACCCATTTCCAGACTTAACAAAAATAAGATTCTCGCGTCGATGTAATTTGAGAGGGGAGGGGAGGGCTTCATTGGGAAGCGCGACGAGTTTTCTGACACGGCACCTTCGCACCACAACCGCCCTCGGCGACTCCATTTCGACAACCCAGGGGGAGGGAGGGGGGGGGAGAGTGCTCCGTAGAGGCCCTGCGAAAAGGGAAACAATCAATGGCAACACACACAGCAGGGCACAGTCAACTCGACTCGTGACTTTGTGAAACCTCTTTAAAAAAAAATTCAAATTTGATTGCGATTGTGCTATCGCCAGCATGCCACAAGACAACAAATCTGTGTGGAAATCGCGCGCAGCTACGGCGACCCCTGCGTTTTGACAAACAGCCCGTCGAAGCGGCGGAGATATTGCTGTAATTTTTCTGCATGAGACTTCCCTTTTTCGTTTCTTTTTTAATACACAGACTTGCGGGGGGGGGGGGGGGGTAGGATGCACTTTCCCATGTGCCCTGCTGAGAGAATTGTTTGCCCCATTAACAAACGTAATACGTTCTTATTTCTCATCCAAAATGTAGCCAAATTTTTGCAGAAACCAAAAAAAGAACGACATTGAACACAATCGTTTTTTTTTCTGCGCAGTCATTGATAACAATGCCGAGGACGTCAAGTCCGCTACACTTGAGGGGGGGACCCAGTTTATTCTTCGGCGAATGAATCCTGGATTCGCAGGCAGGATCTCAGCGGTGTCTGCCACGATTCTGATGCCCGGTCCCCTCGGCCGCCTGGCATGCGTGCACTTCTTACCAGAAGGCACAGCTTTACCGGTGGCTACAGAGTGGCACATTCTGAAATGTGATGTGAAAAACCTCAGAGGTTTCATGATGCAAATGACCGTAAATTGCACACTCGTATTATCTGCTATAAAGCATGGCTATTTTTTGTTTTATCTTAAGAGACAAGCACGAAGAGAATCACCGTCCAATGTTCCACAAGGTAACTCCATTCGTCTTTCGGCTACGTGCTGCTTTTGTAATGAGCCAGCGCTGTTTACAGAATGTATTTATTAATGCTGCCTGTGTATTGCACATTGCAAGAAGTAAATATGAATAAGTGTTCACTCGTAGCTATATTTCATCGGCAAACAAAATTTTACAGAGCACCTCAAACACAAATACAATAGACAGCTTCACTAATTGTGTATTTCAAAAAAATGATACGCTTGTCGGCACATAATTTCATCTATCAAAGGTTATAATAACTTTTTTAAAGGCATTTTTACCTTAATAAATGACTGTCAAATTCTCCAGATTAAAAGGCCCACTTTCGCCCCCTCTTATTGTTAATCAACATTTGGCTGTGCATCTTAAAATCTGGCAACTGTGTGTGTGCGTGCGCGTGCGACCAGATGTGTTCATTTTTATTGACATCTGGCACAAATCGTGGGTGCCTCTGTTTTTTTGGCGGAGCATCTATTAATCCGGAGAATATGGTAGCCTTTGAGAGATTTACATATCTTATCTCAAAGGAATGTACGTAGCACCTTATCCAAGGTGCTTTACACAAGTAACAACGGTACAACATGGATGTAATGGTGGAGATGGGGTGACTGAAATAGATGAGAGGAAGCAATGGGGGCGAATCTGTGATGATGCGGGAATTCGGTGGCAGTAAATGATGATGAATGGATTGAATGTATGGGAAATGAGTGAAATCCATTTAATGAGAATACGAAGAGGGAAAAGTAGTGGGGTGGCGATTATGAGGGGGAGATTAAGGAGTCGTGGGGTGAGCTAGGGAAAAATAAGTGAGTTTTGAGAGTGGAGTGTAAACTAGTGAGAGAAGGTGACTGTTTAAATGTCCCCATTATTAGACGTTAACATTTGATTACAGCGGGAAGAATCCGAAGCTCCTTTTTACAGGTGTCCAGACCAAAGCTGCGATCGGCATTAGGTAGACAAAACAACAGCATAATACTGAAAAACAATATCGTGGCCATAGTAAACAAAAAAATATACATACAAAGACAGTGAAGTGCAGTGTCAATTGCAATCCGGTTCTCATCGCTGCCTTCTAAATAAATGAATCAATCCGTTCATTTTTCGATTTAAAGCTTTCATGATTGCAGGGATTCATCTTCTTGGTTCTTTCGGTAAAGTCACGGAGAAGGTAAATAATAAAATAATAAAAATAAAACATAATAAAATAATTCTCACGACGTTTCGGTTACAACGCAAGCAGCCGTCTTCAGGTGAAGAATGAGACCCTGCCAAGCTTGGAGCTTGTATTTAAGCTGGGTTGGAGGTGCACATTATTTTGTTAAGGCGCTCTTCTTCCACCTCCAACCCAGCTTATATATAAGCTCCAAGCTTGGCAGTGTCTCATTCTTCACCTGAAGACGGCTGCTTGCGTTGTAGCCGAAACGTGAGAATTATTTTATTATGTTTTATTTTTATTATTTTATTACTTCCCTTCTACGTGACTTTACCGAAAGAACCAATAAGATGAATCCATTCATTGATTAGGAAAATGCCAGCGCTGCGCATCGCGCTGGCGTCGATGCCCGATCCACACCGGGGGGGGGGGGGGGGGGGGGGGGCGTGTGTGCGCCGTCAGCTGTTTGACATCCTCCGTCGCTGCTCTCCGCAGGGCCCCGTGATCAAGTTCAACAGCAACCAGCGCTACGCCACCACCGCCATCACGGCAGCACTCGTCAGGGAGTTGGCGGCCAAAGCCGATGTCCCGTTGCAGGTACGTTACCCATGATGCTTCGCAGTGGTCTAGCGTGGGTGGGATCGACCTTGGTGCAAGAATGAAATTGAGGGTGGGAGCCTCTTCCCTGTCCATTTTAACCCCCCCCCCCCCCTTCATAGCCTGGTGTCTAGACCCTCCCCTCCCCTCAGCTCATGGGGCCCTGGTGCAGTTGCACCGCCTGCACACTCAGTAGCTGCACCACTCGTGCGCCAGTACCAAGTCCTTCTCTGCCACGTGGTTGAAGTTCCCATTGGAGAGACTTCATTTGGTGGTCAGGTGTTACCTGTTTTTTTTTGCATTTTCCAAAATTATTCCCAATTCTCAACTTTAAATATCGGAACGACATTACCGACATAGGGCATCGCCAATAACCCTAGGTCCATGGTTCCTTCCAACCAGAATGATTCTCTGCTCAACTCTTTAACAACATTTCCTGTATTTGATAGACTTGTGTGAAGGGTGCAATCAACCTGTGGTGGGGGGGAAATAAAAGCCACTTTGTGCTGATTGCACAAACTTTCCCTCGATTCAAGGCCAGCCTCTCAAGGTCATACTCTTCTCCTACGCCTGTGATTGTCTCTTCTCTACGAAGTGGCTCCATATGCACCCCATTCACACCGTCGCCTTTACTGTTCTCTCCTGCGAGCCATCCTAACACTTCCGATACATTCCCACCTGCCTTCAAAGTCTTTGCCTTCCCGTTGTCCCTGACTCGCCTCTATGCCACAGTCCCTGCAGTTAATTTTTTTTCCTAAAACCCCCTCTCTTCTTCCAAGTCCATTCCATGTGCATGGTACCTCCCAGCCCTGTAGCGTGATCTTGTTTATAACGGTTTGGGGGAGGGCACGCATACAAACACTCGTGGGGGGGGAGGGGGGGCACGCATACAAACACTCATGCGGGGGGGGGGGGGCATTACAGTGAATGTTGAACAAACTTTTAACATAATATAAGGTTTTTTTGGGGGGTTAGATTATGAATGTGTCGTTAAACCCGCCACCACCCGACACAGCCAATTAGTAACGTTGTGTTACGTCAACAGGATGTGCCAATTCGTCACTAGTACAGCACACCGGTGCGTTGGAGAGCAAACCCACAACATTTACAATCCGAGTGCGACGTTTCGCCATTGGTTACAACCAGCTTCATCATGCGACAGCCAGATTTCAACAAATATGAAATGTGATTTGAAGTTTTCGTGACTGCAGGAATCCATTCTCTTTGGTTCTTTCGGTAAAGTCACGTGGGTATAAATTAAAACAGTCTGCCTCAGCAGCAGACCATGCTTTCCCACCTGATGACGGACGCTTGTGTTGCGCCCGAAACGTCGTGATCTATTTTATTTTATACCTACATGGCTTTACCGAAAGAACCAAAGAGTATAAATATCAAATGCTAAACAGAATGAATAATTATGCTGTCTTTTGTCTATTATGCATTCTTATCTGGCTCTTGCCCCCCACCCCCCCCCCCCCCCCCCCCTGTGTGTATAAGGAAATGCTGTGACGCCCATCACTTAACTGCCACTGGCGTTAAATATTGTAACCAACGTTTTCTCATTTGACTATAAGAAGGGGGGGGGGGCTGAGTCTTCAGCAGTTGTAGGTAGGGGGGGCTTCAGCTCCCTCCAGCGCCCCCCCTACTCTACATGGAATGGTTCTCCCCGTGTGCGCTGCAGTGTATTATACGCTCCGTCAATCCTAATTGTTTTGTATCGTGTGTGCGTCTGTTGCTCCAGTCATTAGGCCGCACGGTGTTTGTTCTCAGAACCATCGTCATTTACTCGATGACTGTGGGAGGTCACACGGCAGGGGGTGGGCAACCGTCGGCCGAAACCGACTTTCCAAGTACAGTGAAACCTTGGATTGCGAGCATAATTCGTTCCGGAAACTTGTTTGGAATCCAAAGCACTCGTATATCAGTTGTGATCACGTGACGCTTGGCAGACAAAGCGTATACATACTACTGGTATTGCAAGACCTCGCTCGTTTATCAAATTAATATTTATTAAAAATTTTGCTCGTCTTGCAAAACACTCACAGACCAAGTTACTCGCAATCTAAGGTGTTACTGTACCTTTGGCGGGCAACCATTCACACGAACACAAAGCTGAGCATTATCCGTCGATTACAAAATAACACCAATCTTTACTGGGTGCGCTAAAATTAGAAACGGTGTTGGCAGCTCGAAAATAGTCCCCCACAGTACCTGATTAGTGCCGCAAAGATACCCGCAGCCGATTAGTTTTAAGGCCATTTCACGATCGGCCTCTCATGGACAGGCCTCATGCAATAAGGCTCACATGGCCACAAGCCGTATGAAATGTCGCGGGGTCGTACCTGCCCCGCAGGCTGTAGAGGGCTCCCCTGCTGCACAGCGAAGTATACCGCTGACCTTTAGCTACGTTACGGCATTTTCATTAGCGTCGTTGGGGGGCAGCGTTAACGTCACCGACTGAATCCGTGCCCCGCCACGTGTGCGCGTGCCTGGTTACGCAGGATGTGATGGTGAAAAACGACAGCCCATGTGGCAGCACCATCGGACCAATCCTGTCCGCTCGTTTGGGCATGCGCGTGCTCGACATCGGGGCGCCGCAGCTCTCCATGCACTCCATACGCGAGATGTGCAGCACCTCGGATGTGCTGCTCAGCATCCAGCTGTTCCACGTACGTACGCACGCAACACGCGCTCACGCACGCGCTCGCCTGCCTGGGCTCGCGTGTACGATTGCCACCTCTTGAGGTGGCAACAACAACAAATAACAGATGTCGTGGGAAAAATATCGGAAAAAGCTAATCATGCCGGAAGAGGGGAGAATGGCATCCGAGTGTGCTCTAAACACAGGGACTTTTAAGTGTCATGGGGAGGCTCTTGGATTTCCCAGGACAAGCAGCTACTTGAAAAATAAACTCTTTAAAAAGAGTTTTTTTAAAACGGTTTTATTTTAAAGTGCACTAGAAAGTAAATAACTCGATTGGACAACAGGAAGTAGACTAAATTTTGATTACAAGATTTGAGCACGACAAAGAGGAATCAAGTTGAGTAAGACCGTTGAAAAAAGATGATCATGGGAAAAAATCTAGAACAGGTGGCAACCGTACTTGCAGTCTGAGAGCTTTGCAGATTTTGGCCTTAAGCAAGTGGAGGAACTTTTTTTTTCATGGCCACAAGGTAATCGGGATGTCGTGGGTGTCGCACTCTCCTCATATTACGTGTGTGGGTTTTCTCTGGGTACTTCAGTTTCCTTCCTACTTGACCATAATGAAAAGAAGATCCCAATGCCAGTGCCCTCACGAGAAAGTTATGACTCGGCGATGCTTTTCTATAGGTAAATCAATTATTCGTGATGAAATTGGAATTGTGAAATCGTCGCCAATTGTCGTTAGGTATAAACTGCAAACGTTTGTGTAGGCGTTATGTTTGCTGTAATAATTCAAATGCATCTTTTGAGAGTACCAGAGTTGGGCCACGTGGGTGGTTTGAGAGGTCAAGAGCACAGAGCTGGCATTGGTCACAATCACAGTTTCAAATTTGCACTGGCACCTTACTGGGCAAAGACCCCGGGGCCTGACCAGGACACGCTGGTGGGACTATGTAGCTCGGCTGGCCTGGAAATTCCCGAGGAAGTGTCCGTCACCAGGGAAAAGGAGGTCTGGACCGCCCTTCTCAACACGCTGCTGCCGTGACCCTCACCAGGAGAAGCGGACTGAGAAATGAACGAACGAATCTGACCTGTGATTTACACGGAGTTTTTTAAGTGTAGCAAGTTGATTTCAGTTTGGTCACCGTTGACCAGGTTTTTTAAAATCCTTTATATTAAGTTCACTTGCTTGCTTGCGTGCTTGCTTGCTTGCGACCGTGCAAATCTTTCGGTCGTTTTTTAACCCACTTCCCGTGATCCAATCGAGCTGACGTTTTGCACACAGACTCGTTGTGCGTGACAATTAATTTTCGTGAAAAACTTTTTCCAAAATTTTACACTGTTTAGGGAATTTTTTTAAAATATTTAATTACCAATTGCTTAATGGTGGCAGACAATCATCTGACCCATAGGTGATAGCCATCTCAAGCCACGCATATAAAGGATTTATAGTGAAAAACTTTGTTTTTACGGGTTAAATTTTTTCATTAATTTGGATACATTTTGGCCGATGACAAAATGTATCTCTTTTTGAATGTTGTGCAACACTTTTCTGACTACGGCACGTGGCACAGTTGTGCCATGGTGTGGATAGCTAAAAAAATCCTATTTGCCGGTATCTTTAAAGGCAATCTGCGAATTGTTCTTTCTGCAGATCGTTCTCGTACACAGGTTTACACTGCTTAGTTAAAGAGTTTCTCTTGGAGTCTTGGTCTCGTGACAGTGATGTCGAAATACAATTTGGAAGCATAAAAAAGGGCTACTGCAGATTCAGGATGCTGCCGTAATGTCATGGTTAGCACACTGGAACTAGAAATCGACCTTCCCCAACCATTATATAAACGGAGTGGTAGCTCCTGCAATCTCTCATTTACTTGATACAGCTGTCGTGGCTGTGACGGTACCACCTGAAGACGGAAGCTTGTGTTGCCTCCGAAACGTCGTGATTTTTATTTTATTTTACTTTTTAATGTTTTTACCTACGTGACTTTACCGAAAAAAACTAAGAATAGAAATCCAAAGGTCACGGGAACTTTCAATGGGAAGGTTTCTTAAAATGCCACCCACCCGTCCACCCAGCGATAGAATCCTAATCGTTATTTCGTATAAATGGGTGCATCAGTTAGTCGATCGGTAGCTTGCTTGTGGTTGGGAAAAGTGCGGGTAATTCTCACCACCTTCCAAGATATCTGGCCAGCATGAAAGAGTAGGGCCAAAATACCTTTGAGAGGAGCCCTCAAAGAGACCTTTCAAAAGCCTGCAGTGGCTTGAGCAAACATTTGAAGTGCTGCAAATGTAAGTTGTATCTGCTGTGTGTGTAATCCATTGTTTCCTTTTATTTGTGCTGCAGGCCTTTTTTGAGCACTTCCCCTCTGTGAATGCCTCCCTGATCGTGGACTGAGATGGCGAAGGGCAGGGTTTGGACTGCGAAGGTGCCGTGTTGGAACACAACAAGTCGCTCGCTTCCCATTAACAAAGGCCCTTCTTCAAGACTTAATCTGCCCTGAGATTCTTGTTATTTGAAATATCACTTGCCAACGAAAACTGGTGCTTTACAATACATATTTCTTCCAAATATAAAAAACACGTGACTTAATTTGTTAATTAAGTTGTCATTGTATGAAAACCGGCATGTTGTTAAAATGTGAAACTGCATCGACTTTTAAGTGGGGACTAAACGTTGATATGACTTTAATAAAACCAAATAATGTTCTGCTACCCTCAGATTAATTCAAATGTTTTCACACAGTGGTTGTCCTTTACCCTCCGCACCTCCGATTAGTACAGTTGGCTGCGTACCGTGCAAAATAATAAGTTCTACACACACGTACGAGACATCACTTCCATTTAACACTATCTTCACACCCTTCTCTCTACCACAGAGTATTAATGAACCAAAAACACCGGGTTTGTCCACTGCAATTTATTTTGACAATAGATTTTAATAGAATAACTTTTTTCTCTCCAAACATTGACATTTTAATTTTCTTCATACATAAAAAAAAATAAACTTTCTTTGGCACTTGCTGATTGCTATTTACTTTGTGTGGTTGTGTTTCCGATTTATTTAATTTTAGGATCATTATTCAAGAGATAGGGGTGAAGCTGGTGTGCGGTGGTTAGCGCTCTGCGCCATTAACCCAACAAGCCGAGCTCGATTCTCAGCCATGGGTATCGGTGGACGAGTGGTATCTGATTTAGTCCTGGGCTGCCAGGACCAGTATGGTGAAGTATGTTCAAACAACCCCCATGATCGACATGACATGAGGAGAGCATCATCCACAAGTGGACTGGCTTAGTGATGCAAATTATTTCATGATTATTAATCAAGATATATATATTACTTATTTTTAAATTACATTTAAGGTGGCAATTCACCGTCCTACTCGGCAAAACTAAACTTTATGGTAAATTCGAGGAAAACCACGCTGAAAAATATAGCTTACGTCAAATGATCCCGTGTAGCAAACGGAATATACCTGCTATAATCACCCAGGATTGTCTGTCAATGCTCGTGACGTCACTCCGCATCGACCAGCCCCCCTCATTAATATTCATGAGCAGGTGACGTCCTCCAAATGGACCCCCCCCCCCCCCCCCATTCATAATTAGCGGCTGACGTCACTCCACATGGGGGGCCGAGGTACCTCCTCCCCCCTCCTTGGCGTTAACTTACAACCCTCACTACAAAGGCAGAACCCTCACGTCATCACGCGATCTCCGTAACGCTTCTTGGTTCTTTCGGTAAAGTCACGTAGAAGGGAAATAATAAAAATAAAACATAGACAGACGCTGTCTTTCCGACAGACCTGTTCTTCACCTGAGGACGGCCGCTTGCGTTGTGGCCGAAACGTCGTGAGAATTATTATATTATGTTTTATTGTTATTATTTTATTATTTCCCTTCTACGTGACTTTACCGAAAGAACCAAGAAGATGAATCCCTGCAGTCACGAAAGCTTTAAATCTCCATAACGCTGTTGAGACATGGAAGTAAAAAGGACGTCATGATGAACAAGGGATTATAACCTTCAAATGAAATCGGTCTGTGTCAACGCGCCCTTACAAATTGTACACGAATTGATAAAATTAATATCACATCGCGGTCTGCTTTTCGCTTGCAAGTTTTAGATGAACTGCAATACACCCGCCGTCTTTGGATGGGCAAAAGGCGATATTGCAACTGAGGTACAATCATGCCCCCTATGTGCCTTGTGTATGTTTGCTAAGCAGGATTACCACACAATAATTTTTCACATTATATGATCTTAAATTTCACGAGGTATCGTAGCGATATTAGTTTTACGTAACTTTGCAGATTCTACTTCGCAATGCTGTACTTCCAGTACGAAGATTATAGTGCTTATATTTTTCTGCAACTGCAGTTCACGCAATCCTGTCATAATTCTCACAATATTTGCAACTTTACAATATATGACACGTAAAACGCGCACATCGTCAGTGACACGAGAAATAAATAATTACAATAACTATGAAAATTATAACTTCATATAATCGCCAAGTTGTAAATTGCTCTGTAAAACATTTTACAAAGTGGTAATTTAATGGATAATAGCTATGTATTTACATTATTGAGTTTATCATTTCATACATTTACATGAGAACATTTTATATTTAAGTAAAATAAAATTAGCAACAATCGCGACATATTTAGGAAGAGAACGATATGATTCTCACGGATTTTAGAATCGTAGTCATTAACAGTGCCATATGCCTACTGTTGCCATCCTCACCACGTTAGAGCAATGTTCACTACTTCGTGGAACCAGTAACTCGTACAAACAATAATTGTCTTCATTATTAAAGTAGCAAAGGCCAAAGATGCTGATGATATCGTCCACCTTTCTTTGCCAAAAAACACGAAGCACTGAAAACTCTTTTGGAATAAACATGGCAATCATCGCCCTCAACTGCGAAGACTCGGCATAACGACGCTCCTGAGCGAATCGTGAGACTCTGCGAGTCTTTCCTGGGTAAACAAACAGCATAAGAATAGTTTCTTTGAATGTGACTGCGCTGCAGTTCCACTTGATTATATGTGATTCATGATTTGCTTGAAGTTGTTAAAAACCTAAGTCGACCATAACCAGGTCGCGGCTTTAAGTTAAACTGTTAATATCATTTACGCTGGATGATTTCTCCTTGGCTTTCAATTCTGCAGGTGGTGCATTTAGCGAGCCTTGAAGCGCCGTCGCCCAAGTTGTGATTATTCACTTCCGCCTCTCATCCATTTCCTTTCTCTATCTCGTGGGAAGAATCCCGTCGGTCACGCTCCTGGTCTCTTTTTAACCTCGTGCAATTGTAGAGTCTGTCGACGTCGTTCTCCAGCTCCACGACTTTACTCAAAATGTTTTCCATCAGCACCGCAATGGTGCTCTTTAGGTCTGTTGCGACAAATGGTACAGAGAAAATTATTGCTTCCGACAAATTTTTTTTTTTCACACACGAGCAAACATAATTTCCGCTTGAGTCAATGACTAAATTAACCCAATCGCTGTAAACAAGTCTGGTTATCGTCAGATCTCAGAAGCCGAGTTGAGCGTGGGTTAGTACTCGGATGGGGGAACTGCATGGTAATATACCAAGTGTTGTGCACTTGGGCTGCGAGATAGTGGACGGATGACAGCAGAGCAAAGTATTTTTGGAAAATATCTCGGCAATGTTGCAGTGTTACCGGCCCCCTCGCATGCATGAATAGAACTGGTCAAACATGCTGATCCAGGAAGGACTTCAAAATGAGTGAGAGCTAAGCTTTCCGTTGTCATATATTATGAACCTTATGGCAGGACCCCGGGGGGTCCAATAAGCCCGCGAGGCTCTCGCATAAACTCCGTTGTGACGTAATTTTATGTCTCTCGATGAACTCTACACGATGCGCTAATCAAAGTTTTGTTTCTTCTGCGCATTCGTCCTCGCTGCTGCGCTTGGACCTGACAACAAAATGATCCGCGCCCGGTGGGTCGCAGCATTTATGTGCGCGGTGGGACGGAGTCGCCAAAAATAAATACATTTATTACGATTTTTACTTACATTTATTTGGGACCCCGGGGTCCCGCCATAAGGTTCATGTCATTTAAAAAAGGTTTTAATTATCTTTTGTTTCATTTAGCTCCGTTGTACAGATGTTCTTATTTATCAAGGTAAAAAACAACAATCGCCAATTGAGTCAAAGTACACGACTTGTTGTTTTTGCGCAAGCACGGCACTGTTCTGCACAGTTGACTTTGAAGAAAAAAAGTGTGTAGATACTTTTTGCGTGAAGTACTGCGTGGCTTGTATTGGGGGGTTCGTTAGTGGTCTGAAACTCACAAAAGCCACGTCGATCCCAGAAGGATGATGGACCGAGTTAATCCCCAAACAGGATTTGAGCTCGCAACCTGCTTGCGAGCCACTCCCAATTATAAGCCTTTCACTGTATATAATTATACTAGTTTAGAGCCAATGACATAATTTTGGAAAGTATGCATATAAATGCATCTTTTACCCATTAACTCTTCAATTAACTGCTGTTCAAAACAATACATCGAACGTTAAAATCCCCCCCCCCCTCCCAAACGATAACGCATCGCAGGATGGTGGGGAGGCCTTCATCCAGCAGCGGATTGACCACGACTAATGATACATTTATAACTATTGTGGTAAAAATGGAATTTCAGTAATTTTCAGCAATACGCCAGGATTCTCAGAAATCTCGTACTTATTACGCTCCACATGTCAGCCACTAAAAATGACCGCTCGCATTGCACAATTTGCCAAGGGTATTGTATTTTTAATACTTCAGCTTATGTCACCCTCTGCATGGAAACATTGTAGTTTCGTTAAGTAATAATTAAAATAACCTTTTTAACATGGCCCTTATTTTAATTGGGTAAGAATCCAAGGATGTGGCCAAATCATCCAGAATGTGCCCGACCTCATTAGATCATGGAAGCTAAGCAGAATTAAGCCTGGAGAGTGGCTCGGATGAGTGACCGCCATGCCGATTTAATTGCATCCCCAGCGTTTGGCATTGCTGCTGCATTGGCATTGCTGGATTCATTGGCATTGTTGCTGCAGTGGCATTGTTGTTGCATCCTCCCCCCACGCATCCCCAACTCTCTCAGCAGAGGTCGCAAACGTGTTTTGATTCCTCACCCGTACCCGGCCGCACCAGGGTCGCAAACGGGTACCTGTACCCAGCCGTAGCCGTACCCTACCGGTACCAGGCTGGGTACGGGTAGGGTACGGGTATTGGGTACCTTATTGCGACCTCTGGGATGAAGCCATGTTGCAGGCGCGGGTGGGTTGATTCTAGGAACTTGAATTTTGAGAAGAGACAAGACGTTGGGAAATGAGTGACAGTTACTCACCAGTGACTCACGGCCTACCCGTACCTGGCCGTACCAGGGTCGCAAACGGGTACGGGTAGCCGGGTATCGGGTAGGGTACGGGTATCGGGTACCCGGTTGCGACCTCTGTCTCTCAGCCTCCCACTTCCAGCCCCGCCCACTTCCCCCCCCCCCGTCCAGCTTCACGTCCCTCTCCTAGCGTCCACGCAACGCTCCCCTCCCCCTCTCCCCTCCCTTGCCCCTCCCCCCCTCTTATCTATATAACCTCTTACCACGGCATCTCTCTCCCACTTCAGCAAAAAAAAGATATTGCTGTGGTTTTCCCACCTGATGATGATTGCTTGTGTTGCAATCGAAACGTCATGATTTAATTAAATTTTATACCTACGTGACTTTACCGAAAGAACCAGATAGTATAGGTGCTGTGGGTTGGTGCAGGGTTATGTTGTCAGCGCAAGCCTGTGCAGAAAAATCCATTGTCATTTACAATGCCCCAATGTCTGTTACATGCATTCACTAACGTGCACCGACTAGCATGAAGTATTGTTAAACCTCCACAATATGGAAGTAGATTGACAAAAGGGCTGTGTACATGTACAAGAACCTAATAATGCCAGAAACATTCTTTTCAAGGGAGACTTTTTTTGGCATACATAAATTCCACCTTCACAGTATTCAAATGTAGCCCTATTTGACCAATGCCAATAAAAAATACAACCTTTAAAAGCGTCTGAACTAAAAAATTAATGGATTAAGAACTGCACTGTTACCGCTGACAGCCAAGCGCTTGCGTGTAGTTTCTGCTTTTTTTCTACATTCCAGGTCGCCAACGCACCGTGCCCAGATGTCCCCGCAAACACGTCGTCCTTTTCCAGCGTCAATTGGTGCACGTACTCGCGGCTCAGCCGCAGGATTTGCTCGCGCAGCTGCGCCGTGCTCGACTGCCTGGCGCCGCCGTGTTGCCTCAGCGTCACCAGCAGCAGGAGCAGCATCCAAATGACGCCCATGCCGACAAGCAGCAGGCCAGTGCGATGGGAACCCAGCCTCCATTGCATTGCCATGGCACCTCACTTCCCCCTTCCTTGCCTGCTTGCCTTCCTGAAGAGGTGGGAATGGATGAGGGGTGTTGGGTAACGATGAGGGGGTGAGGGGGGGGAGGCAGTGCAGGCCTGGTTGCGGAGCGTGTTACGTGTTGATTTAGTTTTTAGAAAATAGCTTGTAAACGGAGTCTGTGAAGGCCATCGATAAACAGCACTGAAAAGTTCGGTAAGTGGCAGGGGAGGTCATTCTTTACAAATATTTTGACTAACCGACAACAGCTTTGACAAGCAACAATTTCCCAAGCTTCAGCTGTCGATAAACAGCTTGAGTCAATACTTACAAGATGACATCTTTAGTGGTTACATGCACAAGATTGCATCTTGCAGGTTTCCTGAGCGATAAAAAAAAGAGGAAAAACACTACTGGAAACCCAATTTTGTTTACATGCTACACAGGCGACCCATGCATTTAGTAATTATTACAAGCAGTCCTGCCATGGTGTAATTGTTAGCACGCTGAAGTTTAAATTCAGAGGTTGGCCGGTTCGATCACCTGGCGATCACCTGGCGCAGCAGCTGAAACAGTGGGCGAGTTTCTTAAAATCCCCCCCACCCCGCCTGTCCACCCAGCAGTATGCATGGATACGCCAGAGTTAGTCGATAGGCAGATTGCCTGTGGTGGGGAAAAATGTGGTTTTTCTCACCTCTTGTAAGATGTCTGGCTAGTGTGGAAAGTATCCTAAAACATACCCTCGAGATGAGGTATCCAGAGCTCCCTCCAGTGGAGGCCCTTCCTCCAGCAGTGGTGTGAGCAAACACTGGGCCGCACTTTATTCTTTTAATTAACACGCTTTTTATTAACTCACTCTGTCTTGTTGTATCCTCAAATCATGTAACTCAATTTTTACCCACTTCCCAATGTGGTATCGACTGCAAACTTGGTATACTTATGTCATGCTGATGACAATACTATATTCTATCATAAAACACATGTATTTTTAAACATTATTTTTTTCATGTTTGTTTCGGCTTGGGTCTAATTGTCCACGCTCAACTAATGTTGGCTGTAAATCACCATGGTCCCTTACATTATGGCAAGGTTCGGGGCCACTTCCTGGAGTCGTGGAGTTCTTCCATTACTAGTACGGTACATTTCATTAAAGCGTGTTTTTTAAAGTTTTATTTTAAATATGACTTATTTACAGTTACCGATGCAGCCGACGCTACTGAACATATGCACCACGCTCGCACGCCTCCTGCTCTCAAATGTTCTTGGAAGACTGCCTTGCTTTGCGGGCACGTTATCTGATGATAGCTTGCAACGGCGCAACCGTCAGGGTCGAGAGTGAGGTGGGGGCAGTAGGCGGTAACTGACGGTGAGCTGCCGTGTCCCTCGTGGACATTGATTTGATTTCCTTGGAAAATTACAGTAACCGATTGCCTCACCACAGAGTCGCAGACGACGCAGAAGGGCTTTTATGCGAGGATGTCACAGCACCTGCAAACAAACGCACGACAGAAGGGAAAATGAGTAACTCGATAATAAATGTCACGTACGTGTGCAGAGGTCAGGGCCGCAAGCATTTCAGTTGTGCTAGCAAATCATAAATAAGCATCCCCACATTTACAACGTTTTTGTGGCTTTACAGAGGTGCATTTTAACACCCTAATGCATTTCCCGGGTGCTTCTTGTCCCAATTAATTGCTCGGTTTCAAGCGAAACATCAAAGTGAAATAACTTAAAATGCACATCTAGAATTAAATAAACTAACTTGGTTGGGTTCATAATAGCGTAGAAACACTTTTATAGTAATGTGCATGAAGACTCATGTCATTGATTTGTATTCGGTATCAAATCTAAGTTTGATAAATACGTGACAATCTCCATCATCAAACACATCACTGCCATTCATATTAATGTGATGGTATGCAGTACATGATATTAATGCAACAGCAAAATGCTTTCCGATTGTATGTTTTCATTGCACTTGTAATTTTTGTTGTATTGTTAATTTTAAGGTCTTTGTCAATCCATTGTTGTAAGTAGGCCTCCCCATGCAGTTTTACGAGTAGTGAGTGTTGTTTGACCATACTTCACCAGTCAATGTGTGTTTGGTGAAAGAGAAAGGAAAATGACTGCTACATTTGTAGATAACGTCAGATAATCACGTGCAATGGAAACTGCTTTTTCTCGATGGTACATAGACCTTTATTATGGATGAAGAGCCCTCGTGTTGCATCAGTCTTGGGAACTTATTTACCGTACTTTACCACGCTTGTCAGTACAGGTTGATGACGGGGGAAAGAGGGCTTGTCCTGGACCAGTTCAGATACCACTCGCCACTGATTTTACCCGTGGCAGCGAATACAACTCACGTTGCCCAGTTCATAGCACAGTGCACGATCTGATTTGCCACTCTTCACCATTTTTGGCTGTATTGAAGTTTAAATGATCATGATATATCCGCAGCTGGATGAAGGCTTTCTACAGCTGGTTGTCATCTCCGATCCTGCAATGCAATCTTGCACCTAACACCAGCATCAACAATGTCTAGCAGTGTACTGCAAATGCCCCCCCCCCCCCAACTACTCTGCATATAAATTCTGCACTGTATAAAGCGCATATTTAGATAGTGTCTAACATATATAATATTGGTGATGTTAAACTCTCAGCCAGCTGGTGTTAATGTGCTTGGATGAGTATGACAATCTAGTAAATGCATCACATAAACATTACTGTAATAAGACCATACAAACAATGTACCCACATGTGTACGGCCCTTTTATCAATCCACTGCTGGATGAGGACCTCTCCTCGCTATGAGTCACAGGGGTGGGCTGGTGAAGACGAGAAGCATAGATGTGGGAGCATAGAAACACAGGACAATCATGGATTTGACTAGAATGCTCTATACTGTCCATACTCACCACCCAGCAGCAGCCTATAACACCCTAGCGGAAATTGTGATTACCAATCCAAAACACTATCCATGTGCAAGCATAGCTTCTGAAATGTGAAAAAAAAATCAGGAAAATTGCGAGCAATTTGGTCATATACATTATACACGAATTGTTTAACATGTAAAAGATTTAGACCGACTGGCCTTCATAAAATATTCACAGAAATGACTCTACTTAGGATGTTGCCGTGGTGTAATGTTTAGCACAAGAGACTTCCAATCCAGTGGTCGCCGGCTTCCATAGCCCGGTATGGACGTTGAAGTGATAAGTCACGTTCCTTAAATCTCCCCCCCTCCCGCCGCCTGTCCGCCACGCAGTATAAATGGGTCACCAGTCAATGGGCATGTTGCCTTGCCTGTGGTGGCGTAAAATGTGGGTACTCACCTCTTCCAAGATGGAAGAGTAGGCCAACACACTCTGTATAGAGGCTCTGAAGCTCACAGCAGTGGCGTGAGCGAGTATCTTCCTTTACCCTTCCCTCCAAAGGACCATATGAGGCAGAGTCCATCAGGCCCAGGCCAGATATTTCACTTGTCGGTACCACAGAGGTGGCAGAACTTTAGCGGTTACAATTTCTTCGTGGCCCAGCAACAGTAAATTATGTAATAACCATACGCCAAATGAGTAGGTTATCAAATTACTCGCTCTTATTAACTGCATACATAAATTTGGTACGACAAAAATTTTGCTACCTCTGGTGGTACCAATTTATGCTGTGACCCATGGAATGATTGGAGCAGTGCCCGTGTGTGTTTAATTGTCCCACAGGTTCGCACTTGTGGCTGACTGGTCGGCCCCTCTCAAGAGGCCGGGGACTATTTCTAGGCTGGCGAGGGCTGTGACTTAACGCTACGCATGTGCGGCAGAGCTGATGGCACGGTTTGGTGGCATGGTAAAACAAAATAAGAGAGAAGGCGGAGGCTGATGTTGGTCATATTGATGCTGGGTCCAAGATTCAACCAGCACAATCGGGAAAAATATTTGTATTATTATTGCTTTACTTAGGAGAGCCTCACTTCTGTTACGTGCCTTTTCAGCAGGACTTTGCCAAGTTTTTGGCATTAAGGGAGTGATGATTTATATGAATAATTTATGGGTAATTTTTCAAATTTAGCACGTTTTGGACCATGACACCCACTGCACAAATAGTCTACTCTTGCGAATGAGGTCACGGGATCTTTCATGTCCACTGAGATTAGACTGTGCGTTGTTTGACGGTGAATGCACCCGGAGTAATAGCCACATGCAGCTTCTGGATTAGAACGTATTTCGTCTCCAACAAAGAGGAAATGTGCTCCGGCTAGGCCGTGAAAGAATAAACATATAAATATAAACGTATAATAAAATACTATGTACAACAGAATAACAATAGTAAAATAATAAACAAAACGCATCAATCATGTTATAACTTACATGTGTCATTAATACTAGGGCTGGCCTATCCGATTATTAAGTCATTGATTATCTGTTTGATTACTTAAATGATCGGATGTCACACGAAAATAATAGTCTCCCTATGTGTGCCGCTGGACGGGAGGTGATAGACAGTGCTTGGTAGACGTCATTCGAATCGGCGTCACGATGGATGCGACCCCTCTGGGGTTTCTGGCCTTGGATTAAAATTGTGTAAACATTTACAAAACAAAGTCAATGACGATTTACGGTTCACTAATCGACCCAGCTCAAATGACAACAGACGGCAACGTTAAACAACTTTCTGCACCACCCACAGGCTTGTTTTTGTTGTTGTCGCGTGAACTTCACTGGTAGGACATCATGAATGGCTCTTTCCGCCCGTCCGGTTTGTTCAGTTTGTTCGCTCGCGGGCAATGCCAAGGTGTGCTCAGGAGTGTCTTGAATAGACTGGGGAAGTGAAATCTGTGTTCTCATCATGCGACTGAAATTTAAATCAGTTTTCCATATCTGCGGGCCTTGCTGGGAAATGGGCAAGGCGACCAGAATTCGGCTGATAATTTGCGTCTGCGTACATTCAGATCTCAAAAGCCGCTTTAAATAAATTCGTTTTTAAAAACCCATCACAATAAACATCATCATCATCATCATCGACTGTACTGGTCAACCATCTCTCTCCAGGGTCGATACCAACACAGCCAAGGATGGACCCACATCGTGGCGAAAACTGCAGCAGTTGGCCTGCCCTACCGCATTATTCTATACCTGGTCCCGTCACAGGAATGCGGAATGGTCACGGCCGCTTCAGGACTGGCAAAGGAGAACGAGTGACGTTGGCGACGTTAACGACGAAGAATTTCGGTAGAAAACGACCACGTGGCCCAACCCAAAAAACTGTACGGATCCACTTGGCATTTGCTGTTGGATTATCTTCGTGATGTTGATGTTGTTGTTGATGTTGCTGTAACCAGGCAGCTATGGCGTAACCGGGTAACCCCCCCCCCCCCCCCCACAAACACTGTGGTCATTTATTTCCCCCAAAAAATGTTTTCTTTCTTTCTTCTAAACCTGGGCCAAACAAAAATAACCAAAATAATATGCAGCGCGGTAGTTTCTAATGTAGTCTGCGTTTCGATTTAAAGCTTTCGTGACTGCAGGGATTCATCTTCTTGTTTCTTTCGGTAAAGTCACGTAGAAGGGAAGTAATAAAATAATAAAAATAAAACATAATAAAACAATTCTCACGACGTTTCGGCTACAACGCAAGCAGCCGTCTTCAGGTGAAGTCCCTTCTACGTGACTTTACCGAAAGAAACAAGAAGGTAGTCTGCGTTGTTGCAGAGGGCCTGGTGCAATAACATCAAATCGTTCTATCCTCCTCCGCCACACCAGGCACTGGCCAGCGTGGTGAAGTATGGTCAAATATCCCTCCTCTACATACGAGAGTGTGCACAGTACTAAACACGTATTTCTACACGCTCGCCAAAGGTCTATTGCTCGAAACGTCGCCTGTTTATTACCATCGCTTTATTTTCCTTGCCGCACACACACACACACAGACGACGTTACCATCGCCGAACGTACCGAGCTCCATGTCGCTAATTGTGCAATGTGATAACTCGATTCAAACTCCGCTATTATTGAACCAACAATGTAATCAACGTGTGTGCGCGCGTGTTATACTCACGGCAAAGTCCCTCAACTTGTAGACTTTATACAACCGCGGCTGCTGCTCCCGCCGCCGACGACGACAATCGCGGCAAGTCGGCGACCACGACAGATTAAACACCAACACACGCGCTAATTATAACAATAATAACAACAATAAACAATCTACGAAGACGACGACGCCTGTTGTCGCTGCGGTGAAAGTGGCAACGCCGCGCTGAGTGTTGAAGACAAATGACGTCACCGGCCACTTGGCACATGACGTCATCACAGGGACCGACCAATCGGGTTTAAGATCTCCGGTTGTGTTGTGTGCCGGAAATCTGCCTCTTCCGGAAGATGAAAAATAACTTCCAGAAGATGGAAATGAATGCTTCCGGAAGATTGTATTGCGGAAAGCTTTTGTAGCTTCCGGAAGAAAGGAAGACGTCTTCCGGAAGTAGGGTAGCACTTCCAGAAGGGGAGAACTTACAGAAGTTTGGGATTTTCTCTTCCGGAAGATAGTTTAACTGAAGCTGTTGAAACTTCTGGAGGATCGGAAGAGGTCTTCCGGAAGAAGGTTAGAACTTCCAGATGGAATTTGAAACTTCCATAAGAATGATAATTGTTTTTTTACCCTTTTTTCTGGCAACAAAACTGACACCTTTTTTACAAGGAGTCATGTTTGCATTGACCACAATACCTGCAGTCGGAATGCAAACAAAAAACACAACTCTGATAATGCATGCACTGTCCTTGAAATTGATTGGTCCACACCCGAGACAGCTTTCCTTAGAGCCTAGTCTCACATGGTGTTGGACCAGATGACGCCAAAAGGCGCACAACTCAAAGACAATGCACCATCAGAGTATGAGAGCTCGGGGTAAGCATTTACACCATTGGAACCTCCTTTGCCAGGAGCAAAATATGATAATTGGGATTTTACCCTTTTATCTGGCAACACAACTGACACCTTTTTTACAAGGTCTTCCAGAAAAAATTAAAACATTCAGAAGTTTGGAATTCCTACTTCCGTAAGACAGAAATTTTAAAGGTTGCGGAAGATCGGAAGACGTCTTCCGGAAGAGGGTAGAACTTCCACAAGATAGAATTTCCAGAAGCAGGAAATCTGAATCTAGATTTGAAGTTTTCGTGACTGCAGGGATCCATACTCTTTGGTTCTTTCGGTAAAGTCACGTAGGTAGAAAATAAATTAAATCACGACGTTTCGGGCGCAACACAAGCGTCCGTCATCAGGTGGGACAACCACAGCAAGAAACAATTGCTCAAGTGGGCAAATGGGCTGCTGTAACAAGAGGCTATACTGTATAGGCAAGAGAGGGGGGGAGGAGCCAGGGAGGAGAGACAGAGAGAGGGTGGTAGGGGGAGTTGAGTACTGCCGAGTGAAGAGCAGCTAGAAGGGATTAAAGGGCGAGCAGAGGGGAAGAGCGCGGGGCTGGGAGTGGGGAGCTGAAGCAACAGGAGATGCGGATGGGATGGATGGTGGTGGGAGTCAGGTTTAGGTAGGCATCCGTATGGGTGGCTTTCCTGTAGACAGTGTCCCATTGAGCCATCATGTCTCTTTTCGATTAAAACATCCAAGAATGGTAACTTGCCATCCTTTTCCACCTCCATGGTGAATTTGATGGCTGGGTGTATGGAATTTATGTGGTTGAAGAATTGGTCCAGAGCTGGTAGGCCATGTGGCCAGATGACGAATGTGTCATCTACGTATCTCTTCCACAAGGAAGGACGTGGGGTGGATGCCTGGATGGCATCTGTCTCAATACAGGCTTTGTGGATTAGATCGCGGAAATATATAAATGTGTCGTTTAACCCACCACCACCCGACACAGCCAATTAGTAAGGTTTGTCACGTAAACAGAACATGCCAATTCGTTGCTTGTACAGAAACACCGGTGTGTTGGAGAGCCAAGCCACAACATTTACACTCTGAGTTTCGCCAGTAATTACAACTAGCTTCATCAGGCGACAGCCAGATTTGTGGAGAAATCCTCCTGTTTAGTTCCTTAAATAGAGGGGTAGATGTGATGACGTCATAGAGGGGTAGATGTGATGGCATCACTTGTGAGCACTTATTGCGCGAAATGGTTGTGGGGGGATTAATGAATGCATATAAATGACAATGGATATCCATTGGCGGTTTGATTATTTATATGGTAATCAACGTACGTTATGCATGCACATTATGCAAGCTTATTGTACTTGTACATCCTGTCGATTGTGCACTAAAATAGCCGTGCCAACGGTAATCCCTGTTAAAGTCTAGTGACCTGTATAGGCATGAATAAAAAATATATATATTTGATTGTTCGCTTCCAAACAGCACTAAGTCTGTAGCTATCCGAACGGTTAACATTTTTATTTGTACCCATTTACTTTATTTTTAAAAATAATAATATACAGTATCGTACTGTATAAGGTACTAGGGGACGTTTCGGGCAAAGATCCTTTATAACACACGAGGCCAGAGATTGGGTGTTATAAGTTGTAGTCTGCACTTTACACCATAGGGTCTGATTAAAATCGAAAAAAATGCTTCCGAATGAGATTTTAATTGGCATGTTACCTATTATTCACAGGTATTGGGTAACAAGACAGATCTTTCAATAATCAAAACACATTACGAAATAGGTTCATGTTAAAGATAAATTATTAAATATTCCTAACACATTACATTGTGGGTAACCAAGTTTTTCGTTCAACAGAATATGCATGTTGAACTTCTTTCGCACCGTACGTAGCCAACCGTGCTAATCGGAGGTGCAGGGGAAGGACAACAAACTAAACACAAAGAGCAGCATAACCATTACAGTAACTTAATCGAATTAGTGACGCATTTCTGTGACCAATTATTTCCATAGGATTAGAGAGGCTCTTTAAAAGGATCAAAGGGACTTTCAATTGTTATAATTTCATGAACCTTGCAGGTAGGGTAGATAATTGTATGAGAGCCATTTTGAAACTCGTTTTATTTGAATGTATTTAGCCCTTGCGTTTCAATTTTGCTAAGAATTTGAACATGTCAGCCTGGGAACAGTGAGTTCCACCAAACCATTATTCACATAATCCACTAAGTGGTGCAGTCCTGAGCCATTGCCCGAACACGTGGCCAACAACACGTTTCCTTTTAAGGAAGTGTTATTAAAAAAAATGTTTTTTGTATTTCATTTGGGCACCACTGCCAAAGAACGACAGCACACTATAACCAATTAATTGGCCGTGTACTGCTGGGTCAACAGAGATGCGATGGGAATTTGAGAAACCTGCCCAAATGTTTCAACCGCATTGGCAGGAGATGTAGGCCCTCTTGGCTGCAAGCCCAATGTGTAAACCACGAGATCACGGCTGTTACAGTCGGACAAGACACAGCAGGTATCATCAAGCCTCCTTCCCGCCTTTGTCTCTCCGCGTATGCAACATCCACGGCTATGTTACGGCTACACGGCAGAAACAAACGCTGTGTTGATCATATTGGTGTGGAAAGTTAATTAATAGGTTGATGCACGGCACTCAAATTCAGTTTGGCGGGTGCGTAGCAAACTGCTCAACAACTGTTGCGAACACCATTAACCCCAGAACATACAGAGAAAATTAAATAGATTTATGTTGAAAGAGTGGAGCTAATGTGTTTTGAAACCCGTTTCCAAAATTTCACGAACGTTAAGTCAAACCCACGGTTTTTGTAAAATGGTAGCTTTAATCATGGGCAATTAACGGCCAAGCAATGAAGTGAATAGTACTAGTCGTGGTATAATTGTTATACTGAGTCTCTTCTTCAGATGGCTGATGTTGATGTGGAGCTACTTGCTGTAATTTGACATTGATGCGGTTGAGTCGGATAATTTCGTCAGGAGTAGCAGAGTACATCGCTGTGATGACCTATTTTTTGTGAAAAGGGCTTTGAGTCGTTACATGTTCCATGGTCTGGGTGACAACAGTCACACGCTAAGTGAGATTGTTGCATTTTCCATGTGTGCGTCAGAGAAAATATGACAATGTAACTGACACATGCAGGAAGGACATTTGTTTAATGGGTATACTCTATGATTACTGTAACACGTAGTAGGCTTTCGCGACCAATATCCATAATATAGGGGTTTTTTGGGTTATATCGCGTAAATATATAAATGTGTCGTTAAACCCGCCACCACCCGACACAGCCAATTAGTAAGGGTTGCCACGTAAACAGAACGTGCCAATTAATTTCTAGTACAGCACAGCGGTGTGTGAAACGTTGTGGATTTGCTCTCCAACACACCAATGTGCTGTACGAGTAACGAAGTGTCATGTTCAGTTTTCGTGACAAACCTTTCTAATTCACGTAGGTAAAAACATAAAAAAGTAAAATAAAATAAAAAATCACGACGTTTCGGAGGCAACACAAGCTTCCGTCTTCAGGTGGTACCGTCACAGCTGTCGTGGCTGTGACAGCTGTCGTGGCTGTGACGGTACCACCTGAAGACGGAAGCTTGTGTTGCCTCCGAAACGTCGTGATTTTTATTTTATTTTACTTTTTAATGTTTTTACCTACGTGACTTTACCGAAAAAACCTAGGAATATGAATCATTGCAGTCACGAAAGCTTCAAATCTAGAACCTTACTAATTGGCTGTGGTGGGTTTAAAGACACATACTTACGCGATCTAACCCAAAATAAAACTCATTATCTGTGATTACTGTATTATGTATTAATTTTATGTAAGATGCAATTGTCATATGTTCCCCGCTAGGGGGTGCCATTCGCTAATAAATGAGGACACGCAATGTTGCAATCGTGAATCATGCGAAGAAGAGTCAACTAAACTATGGCACAAACCATTTTGGTTTAAATTTCGATTTAAAGCTTTCGTGACTGCAGGGATTCATCTTCTTGGTTCTTTCGGTAAAGTCACGTAGAAGGGAAATAATACAATTATAAAAATAAAACAATAAAATATAATTCTCACGACGTTTCGGCCACAACGCAAGCAGCCGTCCTCAGGTGAAGACATTCCTTTGTCAAGGCGCCCTTCCCCCTCTAACCCAGCTTAAATATACGCTGCCAAGCTTGGTGGTGTTCATTCAGACGCTGTCTTTCCGACAGACCTGTTCTTCACCTGAGGACGGCCGCTTGCGTTGTGGCCGAAACGTCGTGAGAATTGTATTTTATTATGTTTTATTTTTATTATCGTTTAATTCTACCAGGTAAGGCCCACTGAGCTGTGTAGCTCTTTTTTCAGAAGCGACCTGGCCACCAGTGCAAG